TAGAATAGGAAAATAGGTAAACATTTTTTTCGAATTCAAATTTCGAATTATAATTATCTTGATGAGTTTCCTGTTAGAATATGAGAATAGGAAAACTTTTCTTTCTTGAGGGTGAGGGTGTGTGTCTTGCTTATATACCCCCACACTCCACACCCACACCCCGTTAAAATTTTGAACAAAATAAAACGTATGGATAAACTTTAATGGAAGAAAATCCAAAAAATGTGCGGTTTTTCAGAATTTTTTGTCGTTAAAATTTCGACGCGTTTTAACGCGTTATTTTTTATTTTTTGTTTGACTGAGTACTGGATATTGAAAAAGACCGAAGAGTGTCCACTATAGAGAGGGCATAATGCACTATCAATTCAAATAAGCAGTTAGGACTGATATTCCACTAGATCTACGGTTGATACACATTTTCCAACCAGCTTCTCGTTTTACCGTCCAGATACTGTTATCTTCTAAGTGAAAGTGCCAAACATTCATTTATTATAAATCCACAATAAAATATTTATTCTACGTGTTACTAGATAAATGTATGCTTCAGAATCATTTTTCTCTAGAAATGAGCATTATTCTTATCGGTTTTCATTATCCCACTAAATTAATTCAATTTACGTGCAAATAGAAAACCTTCATGGAATGCATATAATATAGCACTCATTCATACTGTGATCTTCATTGACATTTTTCATTGACATTTTTCATATTAGCCCAGATGGTTTTTTCTAATGAAGTATCATCTTTCGTGCTACTGATTCAGCATAGATAAAAATAATGAATTGTCTTACTTTGAATTAGTCATCATTTTTCACTTTTTAGATGTATCTATTCGGTCGGTAGTCAATTTTGGTCTAAGAATCGTTTTTCTGCTAGAAATTATAATTTTTGTCACCGATCAGATATTTATCTAATTCTCATGCTAAGTTTATGAAAATGGATGGAGTTTTATTTGGAAGTAATAGACTGCAAATTTCTAATGGATTCATATGAGTTAAACAATGACCTTTTATGTTTCCTAGTGCCATTTCTAATGATGAGGTTTCCTTCAATTTCAAATTGCTTTTGAGGTAGCATGCTGGAAGTCGCCATTTGCAAGAGAGAAAAAGAAAGCAAGAAACAGAAAGAGTGGTGCAATCAAGCTGTAAGTGGATCGACTGCTTGTGAAATATTATTATTACATTAGTAACATTTTATTTTACATTATGCATACTTCTTTCTTCTAAAGCACAAATGTCAAATGAATATGGCTGCTACGTTAGTTTCTTATATAATAGCTGTCTAACAGTATGTAAATCGTTCGTATATGCTTTGTTCTCTAAATTTCGTGTCATCAATAGTTTATGTGACAGAACAAGACTGTTCTTTTTTTCGCAAAATCCATTACAAGATCAATCTATTGAAACATGTGGTATTAACTAAAAACAATTTATCAAGCAGTGATACTTTTCTAACCGTAGAAAAAAAACGATTTCATTTATCACGTTGATGAACATTTAGACAATATAACTAGTGTAGATAATGCGATTGTTTTGTGGAACTGACATATATTTTCGAAGAAAATAATGAGTGTAAGTTGAATTGTTAGGTTTTTGCAGCTCCCCTGTACCCTACCCCATCCCCTCCCTATTACAGACATAAAATATAAAATAACTAACACTTAGATGCACTAATTAGAAATTTCTTGATACAGGTCGGTTGCCTATGTTCACCACTACTCACATCAGTAATAAAAATCTAGTTTCACTAATTAGAAATCATTATAATTAGGATTTCATCTCTAATTAATCATCAAAATCTGGCGTTTTTATTATTATAGTTCATAGTTACGACAGTATCGTATATTTTTATTGTTATAGTCCATAGTTACGACAGTATTATATATTTTTATTATTACAGACGTTAGCAACGAGTGTATGCTACCGCTACAGAAGCTAGCAACTATAGTTTATGCTACTATTACACTCGTTACTTCTACCACGTACAATAAACAGATGAAGATTTTAATCTTTTTTTTTCTCACACAAATACCTTAATCTAGAGCTTGAATCCACTTTACAATTCGCAAATTTTCCATCCACTGGGAAGCTTTTATCAAATTTTTATTTATGAAAAAATGTATCAATTTCTCACCTGATAATACGAAAAAATATAAATTTCTCAACAATATTGATAGCTATATACTAAATACTGTTTAAACTATTATCATTCACAATATTTCTCAATGAAACCACTAAACACTACAGCATACTGACATATTCTAAACAAAAAGTTTTTGTTTTTATACGTTCTCTCTAGTAATATTTCCTATTGATAGATTCAATAAACTTCAAATATTAAAAAGATTTTATGATCTTATTTTTGAACAAAACATGATCTCACTTCACTGAAAAAATAAAACTTCTATTTGATCAGTATCTAACCGACCGAAATATGTGAGTTCCACATTTTAGCCCCAACGAGGCTGCGCTGAAAAGCTTTTTTTATTTCTTTCCCCATTAAAATGTTCTCAAAATTCTTTGGCTGAATGATTACTTATATATATATATACCTTGATTGTTAGTTTAGGGCTTCCATCCCTACAAAAAGCTATCTAAAAAGAATTAATTTTGCAAGGTCATTTCTTTTCTATTTCACCATCTGAAACATCAATAAATTGTAAGTAATATTTTAATTCACATGTACATTTTGTTTTGTAGCTGTCAAGTTTTTTTTTAAATTTTTTGCAACACCGAGATACAACCGAACATAAGTTGATAACAATATTGAATATAGGATTGAAAAAGATTAGTATCGTATAAAATAGAAGTGAAGTGTTAACAAAAATTTATTTGTTTACAACAAATAAATTTTACCCTTGTTTACTGGTCTCCAAAACAAAATTTTAATTATAATTCAAAGTCTGCTTTTTGATGATTTCAAACAAGAAAAGGTTGTGACGGCAGCAACGTCACTGATCTTATCTTGATGTTTGTTATATCATGTATGTTTTTTTCTCCCCTGTATTATTCTCTCTTTTTATTATTTTCAATATTGGCACTTTTTCGTTTTTCGCGCTTGTACTCAAGAAAATGATATATGATAATTATTCTTCTCTTTTTTCTTCTTCAAGCTTCTGCAAACTTCTTCATATATCTCTCTTCACTGAGATATACAAATATTCGTCTTCTCTATCAAAAAGAATTATATTTTTGATTAATTACATATTACCTTTTCCTTTCAACTTGATTGTTCATTACAATCAATCAAATTCGATTGTCCCTTACAATCGTTCGAACTCATGTCAGCTACTTGCTTGTAGAGTTCTTCTTATTCACGACTAGTTCTATTCATTGAATAAACAATTGGATCTTCATCCAATATTCAATACTATTTAATTTTTATTGCTGTTATTCTGCCATAACCAATACTGTGGCATCTGGCATTTTTATCAGTTGCGTCTCTGATCCTCATCAAGGCATCACAAGGGTCTTTTGCAAGCAATTCTTTAGTATTTTATTTGAAAATAGTTTCATTTGCGTGCAAATAGTTAAGCGATTTTACAGAAAAAAAAACTTAAAGGTCATCCTCGTAAGATTATATAATAATAATAATAATAATATCTCCCATAGGCTTATTGCCCGTTGGGGCCGGCGCTAAAGGGTCCACAAGCAGCCAGGTTCTATCGTTTTTTCTCTTTTACAGACGACGGTATCTGCACCCCATTCGTCCAACGCTTCCCCCGTTAATGATTATGGGTTGGCGATCATCATAGGATCACGTGGCCGTGACATCTATGTTGAAGTTATTGCTTTGACTCTGCATACTGACTAATGATATAATGGATACGCTATCGGATGAGTCATCCGGAACAATTAGCCGTTAGTAACTTGTTCAGGGTTATTTCATGATTGGTGAGACTGTGGCTTGAACACAATACGTTGTGAATATGTGTCGAATAACATATCCACTCAACCATGGCGGCTCATAAGGTTATATATTGACATGTAAACATGTTCCTAATTGCCTCATACGAAATTATAGACTGTAGGCAAAAAAAAATACTAGTGCTTTTTCGATTATGTGATGAATATATGAAAGTGTAATATGGTATAGCACAGATAGTTTAAATATAGGACAAATACGCAACATCCAAAAGGTAATTCAACAAAAAAAACATTTCGTATATTTCTACTATGCCTCAATCAAATGAGTCGATTTTTTTCTGAAAGTAGAGAAGCACTTCAAGCTTCTATTCACAAATAAAAAAATGTATTTGTGTACATAAAACACATCAACCATCTGTTAAGTATATAAACAGACAACTCCATAGGCGTTTTATTTGAAATGACAGACTGAAATATGAAGTTAGGTGCTGATGTGGCATTATAGATCAATTGTACTGTTTGACAAATAAGTAATAAAATATCGTACACTATCAATTCGTAGTTTCGAGTAAAACCTATTTCAAAATTATTCAGTCATGAACTTAACAGAAGAAGTTTGCTGGATTTTATTCGCAGAAAATACTTAGAAGATTGAATACGACCAAAGTATAAGAGTTTTTACGATCATAGACAATTAAATATTGGCAGCATACACAATATATTTTATCTTTAAAGCAAGTTTTTGAGTTACAACCATGTTGCCACCATATCGCGTATGGCATACATAAAGTAATAATAAAATGATCGCATAGCGTGATTTCTTCGACTCTAAATGCATCGTATTTTTACCATATATATTTCGTAATTCCCAAAGTGATGAAGACTTGCGGTTTATGTGCGTCAGTCGGCGCCGGTAGATTTTTAGCTTTACTGGGGCTTATATAATTGCATTATGCAGATCTTTTTTAAGTCGTTCGAATTTGATTTAACAATTTCTAAAATAATATAATTTAGAATTATACATAATCTTACAAAATGAACATTATCACATATTGCAAAAATCATTATTTATTCGCCATGATCTCACAGAAAAAATTGATTTATTTTTCATTGAGTGGATTTATACTTATTTTAATGTTAGTATTTCTAAAAGCAGATAAACATTTGACTTTATTTATCAATGCAGCTCTTACGTCGCCGACTATTATCTATGGAAATTTTACTTGCGAGACATGGAAAAACTTATCATACGGAAATCCGTCAAACTATCAAAAATGCTTATCGCGGGGTTCTGATGGATCTTTTTGGAATGTTGAAGGGATACGTCATACGGCACATAAAAATCTATTGAATTCTACATCACTTATTATTGAAGTCGGTGGAAATCGTGGACATGATACAGTTAAATTTATTGAATTGTATAATCCATTCATAATTAGTTATGAACCTCTAGTGCCGATGTGGAAAAGTCTAACAGAACAATTTAAGTCAAATCCTAAAGTACAAATTTATCCATATGGCCTTGGCAATCGTGCAAGAACTTTATTAATTGAACCACATGATTTTGGTAATGCTGGCACAAGTATTTTTCGAAAGATTAGTTCGACAAATTCATCTACTATTCAAAAAATCGAGCTACTTAATATTGTTTCAATTATTAGAGATATTCAAAGGACTAGAACGAAAACTGGCATAATCGATATGATTAGTATAAATTGTGAAGGATGTGAATTTGAAGTAATACCGGCTCTAATACTTAATAATATGACACAATACTTTCGAATTATTCAATTTGCTACACATTCTGGACTTCTATCAGGGTCATCGTGTATTTATTGCCAGATACAGCAAGCCCTAGAAATAACACATACAACTTTATATCACTATAATATGTTGTGGGAAGGATGGCTGTTTAAAGCAAAAAAAAATAATTAATTGGATTCATACATAACGTAAATTGTGCACATCAAAAATAAAATATTTATTGAAACAACGCTATAACTAAGCAAAATTTGATCGGCAAAATGCTTGTGAAGAAAAGAAAAACTCAATCGAAAAACAGATTGTATGTGTAGAAGTAGAAGAAATTATCTTAATAAAAACGAATGTCATTGAACTTTCTTGTCTGACAGATTTAGTATTTTTGTTTATCAAAGAAAAAGTGCTCTCTTAATTTACAGTTCTGATGACGTAAAAGTTAACGTAATGTAATCTTGAATATTTTTCTTCGATATAATTATTCATAACTATATTAGAATTCTTAAAATAACTTCTGTTAGGTAGATAATTTCCATTGCTTAGAACTGATTCTATTTCACAGTTCATTTGAATTTAATTGACTCAGAAAAATTATTATTCTCTTGCTTTTACAAATATTACAACAGTAAAATGATACCAGATAGAAATACTCTGGAAAAGTCAAAGTTAATTTTTCTTTCAGAAATCTGTGTTGTTCTCTGGAATCAATATAAAAAATTAATTGATGTTAATAAATTATGAAAAAAAGAAATAGAAATCGTTGAATAAAATATTGAATTATAATTTTTTGGTTTTGTCGTAATTCATTGATATTAATGTCAGTTAAATTACACCGAGTGAAAATCTATGACATTACGCAACTAGTATTAGCAGCTGTATTCGAATTATCATTAATTTCCCAAAGCCGTTTAATGACGCCACGTGATGCTTCTAATCCACCATCAATATAAACGGCACCAATTAATGATTCAATAAAACTATGATACTTTGAGAATTTTTCTTTGTTAACACTTTGTCCAAATACGATATACTCCTTTATGTTCAGCTTTTCAGCTATTTGAGTTTGTTTTACTGCTTCAGTGAGTTCTTTTCGTTTGTTTGTCATTTGACCTTCGTTGAAGTCAGGATGATTGCGATAAAGATGTTCACTAACGACTAAATTTAACACACTGTCACCGAGAAATTCTAATCTTTGATATGTGCGAATTGTTCGATCGTTCACACGGTTGCTATCATGTGTAAATGCTTCTTCCAAAAGATCTATATTTTTGAAATCATAGCCACAAGTTTGTTGAATTTTTTTCAATGCTTGTATACGATTCATATTTGTTGTATATTTGAAGAAAATCTGAAAAAATAATTTAAATGGATTATTTCTAGCTAATCTATAGGCTTTTCCCAATGATCAAAAAAATCTAATGAAGCCAACGATATAAATATAATACCTTATGGAATGACTTTAGATACGTATGGTTGCTTAGGGGTCTGTTATGATTACTGTTGTGATACTGTAATACTTGATCACCTGTGATACAAGATGTATATTTAATGGAATAACATCAATGGTAATAAAAACAAGCTGGTAATATTTATCACACAGTAAAATAAATTTGAAATACCAGTCAAAATATAAACAAAACTCAAATTTCAAAATGACACTTTTGTTAGTCGTATTCAAAGTTATTGATAAATCATTGTTGGATTAATTGTGAAGTTTTGAAATTTACTGTATTCTAGCCTTCTTTTCCCCCATAAGCTACTTATTCTTTGTTTCTTTGTTTCTCAGTTACACTTCAACTAAAAAATATTTTCAATTTTTCTTTCATCATTCTAGTGCTTTCTTTTAATTTAAAATTTGATTCAATTTTACTGGAGCACACTCTAATGTTAAGCAACATGTTACATTTTAATAAAATTCAATCTAGTTGTCATACCTATATTGCATCGATATTGCCCTACGGCGTTTGATGACAGTATTATTGAATAGATGGAAAAGTGTACTTTAAATAGACAATCAAGCAAAAGTATTTAATCTAATTTAAGATTTATGGTAATTTAAACGAAGATTACACATGCATAGCTCAGTTTTTTTATAGCATTTTTTCTTAAAATAAAAAACAATTATCTTCTATCAACTCCGCAGTATTGAATAATTCAATTTAAAATATATATAATCATAGCTGTTCTGCTCTCAGATATCCTTTGTAGAATATATAATTCAATAAAATCTTGATGATTTAACTTACGAGAACTGATAATATATGCATCTTAGTACTCATTGGTATAGAAATATTTTAAGAATGAAAGCTATCTGCGAAAAAGTTACTTAGCGGATAAATTTATATTAGGAAAAAAGTACTTTACTTGATTGCCATTTTCTTTTCTTCAATGGAAAATGGTTTATTCATAGCTATTCGTATTGTTAACCGGAACTATGCATATGCCATAGGCTAGTCCGAACTCCGATGAAGCAAAACTCTTAGCTCAAAGATTAATTTGAGTCTCTAAATCAATGATATAATAATAATAATAATAATAATATCTCCCATAAGCTTATCGCTCTTTGGGGCCGGCACTAAAGGGTCCACAAGCAGCCAGGCTCTATCGTTTTTTCTCTTTTACAGGCGACGGTATCTGCACCCCATTCGTCCAACGCTTCCCCCGTTAATGATTATGGATTGGCGATCATCATAGGATCACGTGGCCGTGACATCTATGCTGAAGTTATTGTTTTGACACTGCATACTGACTAATGATATAATGGATACGCTATCGGATGAGTCGTCCGAAACAATTAGCCGTTAGTAACTTGCTCAGGGTTATTCCATGGTTGGTGATACTGTGGTTTGAACACAGTACCTTGTGAATATGTGTCGAATAACATATCCACTCAACCATGGCGGCTTAAATTAATGATATATTTAAGATTTCTTTTAATAATGTACTACGAAACAGGGATAAAACATTTTCTGTAGACAATCGATTGAAAATGAAATTCTGATTTAAAAAGTTACAAAAAAAGTTTCAATGCAATATCTATTTACACATGAAACAACTTTTTCCATCTAATACTGAATTCAAAGGCAACCCACGGAGAAAATGTTTTCAAAAACCGCGGTAATCAGCGGTCACAAAAACCGCGGTTTCAGTCGGTATTTTCGAATAGCAAAAGTCAGACTCAGACCATCTATGCGTATCTCTAACAACGCCCAGAACCGCGGTTTTAGAGATACGCATAGATAGTCTGACTTTCGCGGTTTTGAAAACCGTCGCATACCGCGGTTCTGAAAACCGTTGCAAACCGCGGTTTCAGGCGGTATTTTTGAAAGGTATAAATGGTCTGAATCCCGCGGTTTTGAAACGCATAAATGGTCTGACTACCGTTATATCCAAACGCGGTTTAAAAAACCGTTAACAACCGCTATATTCAGAACCGCGGTTATTATCGAGTGCATCGCGATTTGAACAACCGTTAACAACCGCTATATTCAGAACCGCGGTTATTATCGAGTGCATCGCGATTTGAACAACCGTTAATAACCGCTATATTCAGAACCACGGTTATTATCGAGTGCATCGCGATTTGAAAAACCGTTGATAATCGCGGTTTTAAATGGGATCAAAACAATACCGCGGTTTTCTCGGATCAAGCCACGGTTTTGTATAATTGTTTTTTCCGTGGGAAGTATAACAAACGTAAATGCCACACAATATGTTGTCATTCATCAAAGTAAATCTTGAATGTAACATCGATTTCAGGACTAAAATTGAGTTTTGCTTTAAATATTTTGCTTACTTGGAGTTTGTACTTTAAAGCATAAAGTCGAAACATAGAATGTTGACCTTGGCCAATCCGAAATTTGGCTGAATTTTTGATTGATCAATGACACATATATTTATAGTTAAACGCCTACACACAATAATGTATCTTGGGACAGATACACTATTTACTATAAATTAAACCAAAATGTGGCTATAGAAGACGTTACCATTCGATTTGTTTTACAGTTTAAATACGGAAGTCTTTAGCAGATGTCGTTAACTATCAATACCATCTTTGCCGTTTAGTTGGATTTTTACTTAAGTGCACCACTGTAACGATAAATAAGACTCTTGCTGGTCGATTTACTAAGACAAACTGGATCGAGGTGGAGTAGCTTAGCGCCACTCTAGGCAATGATGTTTATTCGCTTCTTCACATATCCAGAGTGTCACAACTTCATGCATAACGCACGTATATATATAGGAGAGAGATATATTAGAACAATGGAAAGAGAATAGAAAGAGTAGGAAGGAGAATCATCCAAATGTGCCATCAATATCGGCACAACCAGTATTCTTTTTTTTTATTTAATGTTTCTACAAAGTGTGATGTGTTGAAATCAAATCTTATTGCGTAGTCTACTATTCTCTCATTCTCCCTTAATTGAAAGCATGAGGAGTCATTTTTTTTTACTAAAAATCATTTTACTTATATTTGAGTCAATGATTTTTTGTTATTACAGAATGATTTTTGGTGATTTCCCTCTAACATAAGTTAGTTCTTGTCGGACCACATTCTCATATAACTTGCAGCAACACTTTTGTGACACTGATACGATAAACTGATCCTCATCGTTGAGGTTCAATTGATTTATTACAAAACAACGTTCGGAATCACATAAGATTGTAAGACGCTAGTTTTTTAAGCATAAATATTTCTAATTTTTTTTGACCGTATTTCATCTGTCTTACAATCTTTAATTTGTGTTATATAAAACAAAAACAGTAATAGCTTGATCCATCAGCATTCATTCTTACGTCGAACGCAACGCCTTCAATTAGTCATATCGTTACTATCAGATCTAGTGCATCGTATATCAGGGCAAAATATTTCGCTTTGTAAAAAAATAAGACATCGGTAAAAAAAAAGAATCTCAAGTGAAATCGACATACTCGCCAACAAATGAAATTTTTGAAAACTAGCAATGTCCCCGATAGATTATTTTCATGATGCATAGGTGAGAAACAAACGGCGATGTCCTACAATCAGTATACTTCCCAATACACGAATCAATATGAAGAAAATATGCACAACGTAGAATAATTATTTATTGCATACGAATTATTGCAAATTCGACAATACTGACATAAATATAAACTTAATCTATTTTCTTTCATACGTATTTACTAACTGAGGTCTAAGATCATATAGCTAAATTTAAAAGAAAACGCAAATGTTTACAACTCGAGATAATTCACATAACATATATAAAGTCACTTCGAATAAATCGAAGCGAGGAATGAAAATTCAGTGACAATCGACAATTTTCACTAAATCTAAATCTATATATTTTAGTTATCAGGCTTCATTAATAAACAAAGAATTTCAGTATTTGAATTATAATCTTTTACTTTTTTTATTCGTTGTGTGAAGAGACAGAATTGAGTAAAAGTCAATAGAACTCAATTTTCGTTTTAGAAAAAGAGAATATGGATTACTCATCTAAGCGGAGTGCGATGTTTTCATTTTGGATTAAATTAGACTCTGCTGCGCAAACAATACCACTTAGGGTCTAATTAAACCAATTGACCTGTTCATTCTTTATGCCAGTTTCTCTTCATGTCACTTATAGTACTTTACGAAAAGTAACTGATAATTTTCAAGAGATGCTATTTGAAAAGAATTTTAAATAAGAATAGAAACAATGTTATTTTATGTTTTATAAGAAAAAGATAAGCTTATATATTTATCAAAAAGGTAACGTATGAGTAAGAGAAAAGCTACTTTGCAAAAGAAAATAAAAATTGATTTAAAATAAAAATTGTCATTCTAATTATATGTTATTGTACGTTATAAAATTTAAATAGAATACATTATTTTTCCATTGAAAAACTTTTAGATACATATATGAGAAATTCCCTGCCATTCATATTACGATGACGAACAGTATTATTAATTTGTTGAGATCTTAGCTTTTAGATAATTGTCATTCGAGTGATTAAACAGAGAACTTGATCGACTTGTATCACAAGTAGTTACAGCACAAGTTCACAATGTTACTTATTATCGGATTTTTTTTCTATAAGTTTTAATTGAATGTTGACTTAATGGCAGCTTACAGAGACGATACACAAATACGTCATCTATCAGAAAAAAGACAATAGAATATGTTGCTAAGCAAGGACCTCTATAGAAAAAAGTCCGCTATTAAAACATTGAATTGATTTTTTCCAGTCGATCATGATGAAGAAAATTTTATATATTCATTTTTTAACAAGATAAATACGTTAAACATTTTATTTATTTATAATCAATCGATTGGCCAATAGGTAACGTTAGAATGTAACAGAATTTCGAATAAACAAACAAATGTTGGAGTCGTGGTGATATAGAGTCATCGTTTATTATTTTTTTCGTCTTTCTTTTAGCATTGATCATTTTTCTGATATTCCTTTAGTTCAAACTAGGTCGATCAATCGTAATGCCGTCTGTAGGAACACTTGCTTTCGACGAATTTGGTCGTCCTGTAATTATCCTCAAAGGACAAGATTCAAAAAAACGTCTGTTTGGTATCGAAGCTCATAAGGTCCATATTTTTTTCTTCTTATATTTATTCTTGATTCTGACATATAATTTAAAAGAAAAAAAGATTTACGTCTTATATCAATTCATGTTATAAAACGAAAAGCAAGTAATAAAATACGAATAGTTGTGTTCCCATAGAAGAACCGATTAGTCTTTAGTTTCGTTATGCTGTGAAAAAGGATACTGCTTGAATAATTGTTCTTTTTTTAATTGGTTAACTTTTTAGTTCTATTACATTTTAGTCACATATCTTGGCTGGCAAAGCAGTAGCTGATACACTCAAAACATCATTAGGCCCACGAGGTAAAAAGTCGAATTTCATTTTCATTGATGATACAAAAATAGATTTTTTCGCATTTTCTTCAAAGGTATGGATAAATGTATGGTATCACCAGATGGAGATATTACAATAACAAATGATGGTGCAACCATTCTTAGTATGATGCATGTTGAAAATGAAATTGGAAAACTACTTGTTCAATTGTCAAAATCGCAAGATGATGAAATTGGTGATGGAACAACAGGTGTTGTCGGTAAGTTACTTATTTGTTTTTTTCAACAGTCGAACTTAAAAGTTATGATGAACAAATAAATAGTTTTGGCTGGTGCATTGCTTGAACATGCAGAAGCTCTTCTTGACAAAGGCATTCATCCAATTCGTATTGCTGATGGTTATGAGCTAGCAGCAAAAATAGCACTTGAACATTTGGATAAAATTGCTGAAGCTTATCCACTTGATTTAGCAAAACTTGATCCATTGGTTAATACAGCTATGACAACATTGGGTTCAAAAATGTGAGTTAACATGAAACTATAATAGAAAAAACAAGTATACCATACGTATGTTTTTCTTTATTAGTGTTAACCGTTGTCAACGTCAAATGGCTGAAATTGCTGTCAATGCAATTATGAATGTTGCTGATATGGAACGACGTGATGTCAATTTTGAACTTATTAAAGTACAAGGCAAAGTTGGTGGTCGTTTAGAAGACACACTTTTAGTCAAAGGTGTTGTTGTGGATAAAACATTTTCTCATCCTCAAATGCCTAAGGTTAGTTTCAATCATTATATGTTTGTTTTACAATTTTATTTTACTGAATGGTACATTGTTTTCAATAGGAAGTTCGTAATGCTAAAATAGCTATTTTAACATGCCCATTCGAACCACCAAAACCCAAAACTAAACACAAATTAGACATAACAAATGTTGAAGATTATAAAAAATTACGCGAATATGAAAAAGAAAAATTTACTGAAATGATAAAATCCGTACGTGAAGATACTGAGATATGAAAATTTTCTAACATTTAATCCTACATTTTTAATTAGATCAAAGATTCAGGCGCTAATTTAGTTATTTGTCAATGGGGCTTTGATGATGAAGCAAATCATTTACTTCTCTCTCATGATTTACCTGCAGTTCGTTGGGTTGGTGGGCCTGAAATTGAATTGATTGCTATCGCAACTGGTGGTCGTATTGTTCCTCGATTTCAAGAATTAACAGCTGAAAAATTAGGGCATGCAGGACACATACGTGAACTTGATTTTGGTACAACAAGTGATCATATGCTATGTATTGAAGAATGCAAAAAATCAAATACATGTACTATCTTTGTTCGTGGTGGCAATAAAATGGTAATTGCATTGATGAAAGAAAAAAATATAAATTTTCTAGTTGCTACTCAAATTTAGGTTGTCGAAGAAGCAAAACGTGCCCTGCATGATGCATTATGTGTTGTACGAAATCTCGTACGTGACAATCGTATCGTCTATGGTGGTGGTGCAAGTGAAATTTCATGCGCCATTGAAGTAGCCAAAGAGGCAAACAAGGTTTGAATTAAAACATCTATATAAAATTCATTTTTATATATTTTATTTTTCTTGTTAGATCGCAACTATTGAACAGTATGCTATTCGAGCATTTGCTGATGCACTTGAATCGGTTCCGTTAGCATTAGCGGAAAACAGTGGTTATTCACCAATAAAAACCGTATCTGACATTAAAGCGCAACAAATTGGACAAAATAACCCACGATTAGGTATCGATTGTCTCAATAAAGGAACGTGTGGTAAGTTTCACTGGTAGTATTTTGATTTTGAAAACTAATTCATTTGAATTATATTTAGATATGAAGGAACAATCGGTTATTGAAACACTTATTGGTAAACGGCAACAGATCAGTTTAGCGACGCAACTCGTTCGAATGATTCTTAAAATTGATGATATTCGTTTACCTGGCGAATCGGAGGAATGATCAAATGACAAATGAGAGAACGGCATTGAACTTAGTGTGTTTTCTGTGTGCTTAGGAACATGTTTTCTTTCTTCTTTTTTTTTCACCGCCCAGCGCTTCTTTTAATCGAACCCGTTGTTACTCATTGTTGTTGTTGTTGTTGTTGTTGCTACGACAGTTATTCCTTGTTAATGATCAAAACGTTTGATGTTTATTTCATGCCACTATGGTTAATAACAACTTTTACAAAATTTTTTTTGACTGCATTCACAAATCAATAGCATGAGAGAAATAAAAGAGAATACCTCACTAATTACGCTGGTAGTTGTTGGTTTTGATGTTTAACATCAGAAATGAATGACTTCCTTTTTACTTCAGCATAATTTTTTCCTTTGTTGTTTGTATTTGTTTTAGATAGATATTCAACATGGGCTCGAATGCGAGTATTATGCTTCAACAAGAAGATTTGCAGAATATATGTCAACAGACAGGTTGGTCAACGGTGCCATGGACGTAATAGTCATATGATTCAGAAAAGACATAAATTTGCACAAAATATTGCTTGATGCTATTGCTTAGCCGTATAATAATCCGACGAAGACTACAGACACGCTCGGTCTCCAAATGAATGGTTGATTCCCGCTGAAAAAGACGGGATTTGAGCGTCTTCAATAAATATTAACAGAAGTTCTTCATCTCCGTTAAAGACATGCCCAATGGGGGCTGAGTTCCCCTGTCTGCAACATTACTTTATGATACCCTACTAATATCGGTTCCGATGAATGGATTTACTAACTGTGTGTAAGATGTTTATGTTTGTACTAAATATTATAGTGAACAAATAAATTATTCCCAAATAGTAATATGATTTTCTGCTATATGTATCTCGTTAAAAGCAATCTGGAAGTTCAGTAAATAATACATTTATATCTCAAAATGAATAAAATATTGCCTTCTATTTGATGCTTACACATCATTTTACTACTTTTTGTCAATACTTTTTGTTACCGGGCACCATTCTAATTTATTGTTCGGTGTACGATATCCTATTATTTTAATTTTGTTAACAAATAAAGAGAGTACGGCACTAGTATCATGAAGAATAACAAATGAGTAGATTTTATCTGCTTGATTCAAACTCATTAATAGAATATATCTTCGTAGTTTAATCACTTTTTTTTTCGTAGGTTTTACAACCAAACAAGTACAACGTTTGTACAGTCGTTTTAAAGCATTAGATAAACGTGATTGTGGATTTTTGACACGTGAAGATCTATTGTGCATCCCAGAAGTAATTAATAATAGTTTTATGTTTTCTCATGAATATTAATCTTTTTTTCTCAATGTGTTTAGGTCAACATTAATCCGTTAGGAGAACGTTTGATTGATGTAATCATGGAAGATTATGGTGAAAATAATAAAATTAACTTTAAACAATTTATTTTTCTTCTTGCTAAATTTCGTCGTGGAAAAGCAAAATCATTAACAACCGAATTCAATACACGTGAGAGTAAACTAAAATTTTTATTCGATGCAAGTAATTTAAAGACAAAAATTGATTAGAAAACAAAAATGTTATTTGCATTTTTAGATGTATGACAGAAATCATGATATGAAAATTGATCGAAGAGAATTACTAGACGTTCTTAAAATGATGGTTGGTGGTAATATTCATGACGATCAAATTGCAACAATTGCTGATCATACGATTGGAGAATTGGTATGAACTTACTGAAAGCAAAAATAACGATGGATAAATTTTTTATTTATTATCATCTTTTTAGGATGATGATGGTGATAAATCAATAACATTTGAAGAATTTTGTAATACACTTGAACGTATTGATGCTGACGATAAAATGAGTATGAAGTTTTTAAGCTAAATGCTTCAAAAATTTTGTATTGTTGATTTCGAATATTTCATGTCAATGGAAAAAAGTTTTCTTATTTATTTATTTTTTTTGTGATATTATCTATTGGTCAATCAGATTAGAATTGTTGCAACTTACATAGCGTATAGATTTATCGTTTTGTTATTGTTATTATTTTTTTTTAAAATGATTGTTTAGTGTTCATGTGTTTGTGAGGATTGTGTAAGATACATTTGTTTTGTGTTTTTGATTATCATTATTAATTAAACATTGATGTTTCTTACAGCAAACAGATGGTAGAAAAACCAAAATATATCCCAACATATTTATCATCTATATTCTTATTCGTTTATCTTTCTTTCCGTTAAAATAAATCATTTATGTGTAATTTAAGTGCTTCTATATTCTATTCAATATGTAAAAACTAATCATACAAATATATTTTCTTAATAATATTCTAGCCTCTTTTGTTTTTATCAAAATGTACTATCAATTCATTTTGTCTAATATGATGGACATCTGAATAGTAGTTAATACTTCAGACATCTGTTTTATTAGTCATAGTCACATAATGTTATGTAAATAGAGAAATGAAACACGTAAATGTAACACATATCAATCATAATTGGGTGAATACTATTGAACTAAAAATTTTAAAATTTCAATAAAGTATTGTTATATTTTTGTGAGACGGTAGATCATTGACGTAATTTTCTGATAAGAAAGCGCAAACATATAGTCTTCTTACTCAAGAGAATTTTTCATAATCAAATTGTTGACTGTTATTCTTATGAACAAAACCAACGAAATAATATCAAAGCTGAAAGATATGCAAAAAGTAAATGTTGATTTGAATCATTTCTAAATTTGAAATGGCAACATACGGTAGTTGAATATCGTTTGAACAAAAAAAACTAGTACATTTGAAGGCGTCGCTGTTTGAATTTACTCTATTAAGCAAAGTATTAAAATCAAAAAAAGAAAATTGTGCCTACAATTTTCAAAAGATTAATATTCACTAGACGTGCTAATACTGAAATAATAAAATATAATACAAAATTCTCTCATTTAAAAAATATGTTAAATTATATCTGTATTTTTCTAATCATTGATTATTATGATTCTTTTTATGGTTGCTGCTATTTTGTACGATAGTTTTTCTATGATATGAAATCTTTTTTTTTTTTAATGTATTGTTTTATCAATCAGACTGATCTTGTTCACTAAATAGTTAATAGAAAGGTATAGTAAAGAAAGAATAACTGTCAGTGTGTCATAACAAAATGAAAAACTGAAAACAATATTTAATTGTTTGTAGTCGACTTCTTTTTTGACTTTTTACTATTTGTATTGTTGTTTGCTGATGATGGTCCATTAATAAAATTGAGCAAATCATCTATATTTTTATCACCTTGATGACCTGGGATGGATTCAGCACGTGTCACATCTTGTTTTTGATTCTTCTTGGCCTTTCGTTTCATTAGCATTTCGTTTTTGGCAGCTGCTGCATTTGAATGTTCATCAGCTTCATCAAAAAACGATGGATAATGATGATGATGGGATGGATCATTACATGCATGAGAATGTTGATGAGCTGAAGCAGCATTATATATTGGGACACTTTTAGTTGATGGTGCCTGTTGATCAACTGATGAAGTCATGTTGTCGCCTTTGTTTTCGCTATCTGTTGAAGCCATTGATTATCTGAAATAAAAAATTGAATATTTTATCATTCCTATCGAACAATTCTAAACTTCTGAAATATTACAATACTAACAAAACAACTAATACTACAAATTTTTTCTAAGCATCATCAATGTTTTTTTTGCTATTCCTCTCAATGCTATTGTCGGAATGTTTACATCAAACAAAACATATAATTCAAAATAATCTTGTTCTCGAAGAAAATAACATTTATGTTCAATTTGACTATCATCGTCATTCAACATATACATTTCATTCATTTTGGTTTCATTGTTTATATTACCCAATGGTAATATTTGTTCTTTATCAATTCGAACTATTTCCATATAAAATTGTTTTAAAAGTCCATAACGATGTTTTTTAATTGTTCTTGATAATGGTGTCGAAGTCTTTGTTGGTTCTAATGTACTAACACAGAAATGTGTTTGTCGGTTAACATATATAAGTGCTTGAACATTATGATCAAAAATAATATTATCATGAAATGAACGTGGATATAGAAGACTATTTAAATTTTGTATATGTTCTGTTTGTGAATGACAATATCGATCAACTGTACTTTCAAATTCACTCATTTTTGGTGTTGCTGAACAAAGAATTGAGACATAAACTTGGCCAAGTACTCGAATAGAGAGTAAACGATAATTATGTGAACGATCGATTGAATCAAGATAAACGGGCATATCACGAACTGTTGGTAAAATATCATTCGAATAATCATTTAATGCAATAAGAAGTGTTAAAATATATTGTTCAGCTTGAGTTAAACGTGACCATCCTGTACTTGATGCAATTATACGATTTGATAATGTTATTGAAACATGTTCACATTGTAAATTATCCGAGATTTGTTTTAAACATGAATACATGATACTAGAAAAATGTATTAGAATATTTTGAATGCTCATATTTTAAAACAATTAATTTTAATTTACTTTCGATCGAAACCACAAAGAGTATCAGCACACTGAGTTAAATCTCCAAATGAAAAAGTACGCTCATCATTTAAAATAGTATCAACATAGTATTTAACTAAATTTAAATCATTTTCTAATTTTTGTGGATTAGTCTGACTTATTTTATCTATGTATTCATATCCTATAATCATATTAAATAAAGTTCTTAATAATACTAATTTATATTGTGTACATTCATTTGGTACATCGTATTCTGTCGGTTCTAATAGACACATTAATAAATGATCATTATATTGATGAAAATGTATTGTACAATCATCTGTATGACATGAACGAAGGGTAATACCAAATTTTGTTGAAAATGTATAAGAACTTGTTAGAATTCCAATTAGAGCAAGTGGAATTTGATTATCTGATGGCCGTTCTAATAGATTTAAGATGATTTCAGGTGTATGCTCATTTCGTTCGAGTATATTTGTTGAGCGAACAAGTAATGGATGTCCATTGTTCGTATTAACAAATACCAAGCAGTACGCCATTAGTACCGAGAATCTTCAAGAATGAAACAACCGTTGATAATAGTAATGCAGCAAATCGGCCATCAAATATGCACAATGTCTTGGATATAATCGGATTCGACGATAGAATAAAACGAAGAAAATAAAAGAGGTCGTAAGGTATTGAACAGTTAGTTGAACATGAACGTGTGTGCTTTATGAAGAAAACTATAAATAAATACAATCGAAAAATGAAATGAAATAAAAGAAACTATTATCATTATGCTTTCTGTTTGTGACTTCTTCGTGGTAGATAGCAGATCATTATACACTTATCTTCCGTATAATGTTTATATTATATTTTATTATGGATTGAAATGAGAGGAGCGTCATTCAAATAACACTCTGAAGTAATAGATTTTTTCCTCATGAAAAATAATTATACACTATTTTAAGTCCTAATTATTAAACTTTAGTAACGAATAGTGAAAATTATTATTATTGTCATTAAAGGTTTTAGATCTGAAAGCTCAAAATCAGGATGATACACAAATGAATCAAAATGAATTTGATTGTCTTGAAAAAGTTGCTAAGATGATGACAATAAAATAGACAAGCCTTCAACAAATTAGTCACAGTACTAAGTTAACAATAGAATATATACAATTTGAACATGAATGTAGTTTTATTACCATTTTTTTTTCTTGAAGACAAAATTATAATTCAAACTCATCTTCAGAGTGGTCTGGTGCTCAATAATGCATTATTTCTAATATTCATGTTTCATACTGCAAAGATTGAGCTTGAGCCAGAACTAATCTTTCTCATTATTCTACAAGTTATGTAAAAATAACCTTCGCAACGCTCATCGATATAAGTACATTTTTGTTTTCAATAAAATCAATTGTTTTATAAAATCTTAAAAAAAGAATGCTTTTTTCAAAGTGACTTCGGTCTAAAATACTTCTAAGACAGCCTAAAGCAATATTTAACATGTACTACAATTTGAAATTAAAAAAATTACCTTTTTGTTGATAAAAAGATAATTATAAATAATAAATCTTTTGTTCATGATGATATTGGTATACGATTTCTACTGTAGCAATTTATTGATCAGGGGTTTTTACATTTTTTTCAATAAACAATATCCTATTTTTATATATATTCCCATTTGACTGTACTGATATCCAGTGATATAGCATATGGACCTGTTAAAAGAAGACTGGAATTCTAATTATGATATAGAAAACTTTCCAATAAATTAAGTATTACTTATAGATGATACTCTTTTTGTTACGAATACATCACATTTAGTTTTAAACAAGCTAAAAAGAATTAGGGTGGGTATCGCAGCAGACTTGAATATCAGGTAATGCTATGGAAAAAATACTGCTTTTGTTGTGACTAAGGAAATGTAATGTATTCAAATGCTAAATTAAAGTGGAAATTCATTTTTTCGTGTTAGTTTTCAGCAATATATTTCTCTCGAAAAGAATATTTCATTCGTATATCAATAGTTTTCAGTGAAATAGGATTCGAAACTTGCGTATTCATCTTGATTACTAATTTTCTTATGAGAAAAATATCTTGTGCTGTACTCATACTTGTGCACAATATACATTGTTATATTACACGCGAAAAGCGTTGCGATAGAGGTCGTAGGATGCTGAACTTTCGACGGAATATCTGTATGATTGGAGGACAATCAATATTACTGAAGTATAGTACAGAATTGAATCTTTTGGGTTTGCTACTCATTGTTTCTTTTTTTCTTTGCTAATAGGGAAAACAGTATTAATTGAACATGAGTTTTGTTTTGTTTATTAAATAATTTATTTTAGATTGTTTTAGTGCAAATAAAATACAAAATGGGTGATAGTGATGATGATTTTGATAGCCGACGAAATCGAGATAAGTTTCGCCGTGAACGTGATGATTATGGTGGCAATCGGGCTAATAACAATCGAAATAGTGGTGGTGATTGGAATGATGGAAGGTGAGAATAGATATTCATTTTTAGTTAAATTAAGATTTATTTTTCATCACCAATAGCAATATAGAGATAGATAATAATAAAATGTATGTTCATGCTGTTATTTGCATTAACTGATATCTGCCATTTTCCTTTTTTTTTTCAAAAATGAATTCAAATATTGTTTTTATTTGATTTTAGAGATCGACCAAATCAATTTCGACGACAATATCCTGGTAGTGGAGGACCACCACCAGGACGTGATTTTCCTCCACGATACAATCGAAGTCCTGGTCGATTTGATATGAGTCCACCACATAATAAACGTGTTCGTCGTGATTGGTAAAATTTATCTATTATTTTTCTTTGTTCTATAGCTGATGAACTTATTCGCTTTCTACTAGGGATGGTGTTGATCAATCGCCAGCTCATTTTGATCCACCAAGTGGTGCACCTTATTTTCATGGTGGTCCAGGTTTTCATCCAAATTTTCCACCAAATCTTCATCAGTCTGCAGGTGCACCTACAGAGCAATTTAATAAGTAAAAAATCTTAATAGGATATATGTATTTCTATGTTTTCATTTTATGTTAGAGATGCATCTGATAGTATAACTCAGCCACCAATGCTGAGTTTTAAACATTTTCTTCAAGATCAAGAAGATAATATTGAACAAGAAGAGGCTATAAAACGTTACAATGAATATAAAACAGATTTTAAGAAAACTCAAATTGCTGATTTTTTTACAGCACACAAAGATGAAGACTGGTTCGTAGAAATAATTCGTTTTCTTTTTGTATCTTTTCTTTTACTTCAAATAAGAAAATAATTTATTGATCGATATGTCTTATTCTTCTTCTAGTGAAACTGATTTATTCGTCTACTTCTTCAATAATCTATATATCACTATATATTTGCGCGTGTACACTTTCATTTTTTTCTGCGCCGCCAAACAGATTTATCCGATTAAAAAATTGGGAAATCTGATTTTTTGTTTTCGAATTGATAAAAGAAAAATCGATGATTTCATTTTTTTGTATGAAACAGAAAAAAACGCTCTTTCTCAGCGTATTCATCGGCGCGTTCGCTATTATTATCGATATTCTATACATTTACTCTCCCTTCTTTCTTGCGCGTTACGTATGCCTTCAATATTTGGAGAATTTTTGACAATGATTCATCTTTGAGAAGTACCGTAAGTGAATATCTGAATTAATGAAAAACTTACTAGAAGAGGAATAAGGAAGAGTTTTCTATTGGAATACAAAACTTGGAATAAACTATGTAATTTAGGTTTAAACATAAATATCATCCAGATGAATATTCAAAACGTCGTGAAGAACAACGACAAATCATTAAAAAACGACTTGATATATTCATGGAACTTTATAGAAAAGGCTATTTGGATGATGTTAGTGTCGATGTAGAAAATCAACGCACACTTACAAGATTTCTTGATGCCGGTAAGTAATACTCATTGCAATAAATATCAATATTTCTCTGGTTCAATTATTTTTCACTTTCAAGGCAATTGTAATTTTATCAGTCATGATATACGATAGAAAGTTTGTTTTCATCTGAGCTATCTCATGTTTGTTTTGTTGAGTTATGAATGTTTTACTCAAATTTTCGTTTTCGAGTGTAGAAACATAAGTCATTGTTAAAATCTTATAAACGGTACATAAACATTTGACATCCTGAAACAAAATTCAACCTGTTGCTACCGAGATATTTACAATTGATAAAAGTTTCGAGGATCAAAAGACGATATGTCTGCTATATTGATCAGAATTCATTGAATAGAAATAATTTCAAATGAAAAATAATGGGATAGTTGAGAAAATTTGCTCATGAGCGTTATTCTCATATTTTTGATCTACTTGTACATTTATTTCGTTATAGTTGTTATCAAATTGGAAGGTGGTAATGATCATGATCTTCGTGCTCTTGATGTAGCAACATCTTTCAGTAATACAACTGTTGAAAATGACGAAGTTGACGATGATATTCCGAAACAATCATCTAGTACGCACGAACCAGCACAATCAGAGAAAACAGATAGTTCAATATCTGTTGTAGTAACTGATTCAAAGAAACCAGCGGAGCATAAAGTGAGAAAAACTTGAATTAAAAAAAATACATGTAACCTTTTTATCATGATGAATTTCAGCGAAAACGAGAAGGTAGTGCATCCGATGATGGAGCTGTATCAGATGGTGTAGAAGACGATGACGAGGACGAAAAGAAAATAAACGATAAAAATGAAGTACCAACAGAAAATGAAGCAGCAGAAAAAAAACAAGAAAATGGACCTACAGCTAGTAAATAACAACGATTTTTTTATTTGATTTTACTCATCGTATTAATTTTTTTCTAGGCGAATCAAAAGAAATCAATGAAATTAAAATATCTTCACATGATAATGAACCAGAAGCGGGTGAAGTACCGGATGCACCACGAGCATTACATCGTACACTTTCAATATTTTTTCGTCATTTGACCATGCAAACAACGAAAGAGGATGTTGAAAATGTAAGAAGTTTAATTGTAATAATGAAACTGAATTTAATTAATTTTTCTCCTATGAATTAGATATGTAAACAGTACTCGGGTTTTCGTCGTGTTTGTATTACGGATCCTGCACCTGAACGAAAATTTTGTCGACGTGGTTGGGTAACATTTGATCATTCAGTTCAAATACGAAATATATGTTATGAGCTCAATTCAGCAAAAGTTTGTTTTTGTTTTATTTTGAACTTTCACTGTGTTAAAGGTTTCATTTATTTAGTTACACGAAATGGATATGGGTGCAATTATTAATCGTGAACTTAAAAATCGTATACGTACTATCAATGGAATCGGACAACATAAAACAATAGTACGAAATGATCTTCGACTCATAACTAAAATTATTCAACAGTTAGACGATCGATGGAATATTTGGGAATCGAAGAGTAATGATAATGTTGAGCAAAAACAACAACAACAACAACAAACATCATCGACTGATGATTCCGAAATTTCTTCGTCAACAGCATCAATGGTTATATCATCAGTTCAAAATAAAAAACCAATTGGTTTTATTAGCCATAATCCATTATTGAAAAATATAACTGAACATCTAGTAGAAGAAGCTGATGCCGAAGAAGAAGAATTACTCGGTGAAGCGTCAAATCAACATGGTGATTCAAATGCATTTGAAATGGATAAACAATTAGCCAAAGTACACGGAGAGAAAATTTTCGCTTTAACAGTTTTAATCGTTATGAAACTATTTTCTAGGTTCTTGATCGTTTAATACTTTATTTACGTGTTGTTCATTCAATTGATTATTATAATGGAGCAGAATATGCACAAGAAGATTCAATGCCTAATCGTTGTGGTGTTATTCATGTACGTAGTGCACCATTGTCATCGATAACAGAAACTGAATTATCTAATTTCATGCAACACTTCGAAGCACGTCTTAAACCATTTATTGAATTTCATGAAAAATTAGATGATGATGAAGCCATGAAATTAGGCGCAAAAAATGAACAAGAAGAAGTTGAAAAATTTATTAATGCTAATTGTCAAGAAGTTGGAAAAGATAAATGGTCTTGTCCATTAAGTGGAAAGAAATTTAAAGGCCCTGAATTCGTTCGAAAACATATTTTAAATAAACATCAAGATAAAATTGATGAAGCTAAAAAAGAAGTAAAATTTATTTTGCTATTAACAAAAAAAGAAAAAATATTTGTATTACATTTAAGGGGGTCTATTTTAATAATTATTTATATGATCCAAAACGACCACAACTACCTGAGCATCCTTCAACACGACCAGGAGCAACATTAACTGGACCTCATCCATCTGGTCTACCATTACCTACACCTTCAACTCCAATGGGAGGTCAAGGATTAATTAATCGACCACCTATGTGGCCTCCAAGTAAACTATTCTTAGTTTTGCTAAATACAATAAATATTTCAAATTAAAATTCTAGTGTCTGCACCAGCTCATCCTGGTCCGCCAGGTCCTTATTATAATCAATTTCATCAACATAGACACCCACGGCCACCATTTATGTATCAAAGCCCTGGTGGTCCAATACATAGAGCACCGTAAGTTATTTCTTTTCGATCTCTAAGAATAAAAGCCTACATCATATTCAAATAGAAATATTCCATTAGATTTACTAATGTCGTCAGCGTAAGATTTTTATTATTTATTTGTTTTTGCATATTACTATTCCTTTTATTTTATTTTGTTGCTAAAATATTTACCGCAGTATGATTTTGCATTTAGAATGAATCGGCAATTGAAAAGCTATGAAGATCTTGACGCACCGAATGAAATGTTATTTTAAATTGTTCAATCTATTCAAAAACAAAATAGACTAAATCAAATATATTGTTAATCTACTTGGATGTTTTTTTGTTTCTTTTTGTTTAAAAAATTATGTTCAAAGCTAAACCTAAGAACTGTTTTGTCTTTTTGTTGTATAAGTGTATCCTTCCCTTTTTGTTTTTCTTTTCTTCTTCCTCTTCTTCGTGTTTCGTAATCTTATAGACATTAAATATATTACAAAGCAACCAAGAGAAACAAAATAAGATCTTATTTAAATGTCTTTAGATGGATATAGAACGTCAAATAGATGAATTTGTTTTGCCAGGTGATCCAATTGCTCTTTCAACTTTACCAAGTCCACTTGATGCATGTAACTCGATAATACTTGGCCCTGGTTTACATTATGATAAAGATACAAATGCATTTACATCACATGGATGTGGTCTTGTACGTGAACCATCACCATTAATATACTATGTTGATGGTCATCGTTCTGCAGCTTCGTCATTATCAACGGATGATCTTATTCTTGGTATTGTCGTACGTCGTCAACTTGAATCATTACTTGTTGATATTGGTTACAATGAATTAGCTTCTTTATCACTATATGATTTTGAAGGCTCAACAAAACGAACAAAGCCAAATGTAGATCGTGGTGATGTTATTTATGGTCGATTGAAAATTGATGGTGAATGTCAACCGCAAATAACATGTGTTAATGAAGATGGAAAAGCTGATGGAATGGGTGTTTTACATGAAAATGGATATTTATTTTCCATTCCAATTGATGTTGCCAATGATTTAATTCATCATGATAATCTATTACAAGAATTAGGAAATGAAATTCCATATGAAATCGCTATTGGAGCTAATGGACGTGTGTGGATAAAAGCAACAACAACAAGAACAATGATTGCATTGAGGAAAGTGATATTAGAAAGAGCAAAGAATAAGATTGATATTAATCAATTGAAAGCACTTTTTCAACAAAGTTTTGTTTCATAATTCTAGTTATATAAACAAAAGAATGATGTTGCTTCAAACATTCTCTTATAAATTCTTTAGCTATTCAAAAACAATTTCCATAACACTATTTTATTTATTCTTAGTTGAATTGTCTCGTAAAATAAGTTAGTTCATAGTAGAGAAAAACAAATTTGCGTTTAGCCTGCAATTAGTAAATCAAAAAAAGTAATGAAATCAAATAAAAAGATGCAAATATATAGCTGATACTTATTACAAAATTGACTGGGTAAATCATTTGTAAATAGATTGTATTCGCTGGAATATTTTCAAAGTATATGTCGATTTTTATAATTAAAACTACTGTTAATTAATTCAAAGTTCATACACATGAAGTAGATTCCTAGATCTATCTTATTTAAAATTAGGAATTTATTTCGTATTACACATTTAGAATTTATCATTGATTCAGTTATTTCTATTAGTTTATGAATAAACTTAGTAGAATTGAGATCTAAAATATGTTGGTATTTATTAGGACAGAGTAAAAAATTATTTTCTTTAAATTTTAGATTTTTTACAGATGTTACTTCGCTTAACATCTCGTTTCTTTGTTTCCTCATCTCTTCTTCCATCAACATCTACATTTATTCCATCACGTTTAGCTAATACATTTATCGATGAACAATATATTCGTGAAAATTCTCCGCCAACTAATCAATCTGTATCATCGATGACTCTAAAAGGTTCATCGTCAACTAAGCAATCTCAACCGATGACGTTTGCAAAAATGTTTCGTCAATCAAAATTTGTTCAATTAGGTGGTTTGAAAGGACGTTTATTAAGTGGACGTGTTATTGATGTTGTTGATGATGATTTATATGTTGATTTTGGTGGAAAATTCCATGCTGTTGTACAACGACCACAAAATAAACAACGAGATCAATATGTGATTGGTGCTGTTGTTTCTATACGTTTACAATCATGGGAGATGGCTGCAAGATTTTTGGGTGCATCAAGACATATATCATTGTTGGAAGCTGATGCTCAATTAGTTGGATTATTAAGAAGAATTGATCGAACAGTCAAACCACGTGATAAAGATATTGATTTACGATATCGTCGAGGCGATAGTCGAGCACCGATTTCAATGAAAAGAGAAGTTCTTTAGAGTTAGTCGTTAGATATTTTAAATCATTTTGTCTTGCGTGTATTTTGTTTTTCTTTTGTTCAAAAATATCATACTGTTGAAGTTCTAAAATTTGTGGTACAGATGGGACAAAAGTCTGCGTCACTCTTACAAATGATTTAAAGATTCAAAAAAAATCAACTGTAGAATTTAAAATCGGCTTCTTCGTTGTTTATCTAGCACTGTTGTGAAACAAATTCTGAATGCGTGTCGCACAATAAAGTACGGAATTCAAAAGCAGTTAAATGGTATAAAATGAAAATTACTCGTTGAAATTTACTGGAGCATAATAGTTTTTTTCGTTTCAAAAAAAGACTTCATGAATTAGAAAATAAAAATTCGATAGAATACAGTTCATCAATATATACATAGTCAAGTATAATAATTCCCTTTATTTCGGCTGTACATTTGATTTTTCATCTGATTTATCTCTAGATAAAAATTTGATGATTAAAATCAGTTATTTTTAATAATAAAATGAACTGATGAATAGAGTTTTCTAGAAGTCAAAAACATATTACACACATCTTTTTAATAATCAATGTAATTAATATTTTTCTAGATACTTTTAACCGCTGGCAGTAAGCATTACGTTCCTTCAACTCATCTAGTTTAATATGTATTACAAAAACGAACAATAGTATTTGGATTGAGCATCATCTTTCAAAGGATTACTTTATCTTGGCATACATAGGCGTCATCATAGTTCACATCAATATATTTAGTAATTAAAATTACTTGAGACTTTATGTTTATCTAAATAACACATAAAACTCGATCAGGATCAACGCAATTATTCAGTAAAACCAACTTGATTTATCTCTGAAACATTTTTGATAGGACTACTCTTATAATCGTTACTATATTAACAGTCATATCCATCAAAATTGTTGCCATTTAAAAATTGATAAGAATTAGTCTAATTCAGAGTGATGAAACGTAGTACCGTAAAATATAGAATTTAATGCTGTAAACTTATTTGATTACGAACTATGTTTTAGGATAAATTTAACATTTCGAAGATTTAAAAAATTTTAGTGATGCTTCACATCGATTTTTTGATAACTTATATTTTCATTTCGTCGATTGCATCTAATTTTTCGATTGATGTTTTATCATCTTTACTAGGGTTCGTGATCTAATCTTTCTTTTCGTCTAATTGCATTAGCTGATAGATCATATTAGATTTATATTCCTCTAAAAAGTAAGTATAGTTTCATGCGGATTTCTAGTCATCAAGTTGACGAATCATAACTAAATTAGAAGGGTTTTCTCGGCATAGTTCATAGAATTACTGTTTAAATTGCAGATATAACGAAATTATAACATTATCGTATAAATGCGACAATATATAATAAGTTTTCTTCTTTTTGATAGTTTTCATATTTTTACTTGAACAAATTTACACTGGAGAGAGCAACGTTTTCTCTTGGTTGTTTTTGGGATCCCGATGCTAGATTCGGAGCATTGGATGGAGTCTTGGTAACTCGAGTTGGCTATTGTGGTGGCACACATCCAGCTACACCAACTTATCGAACAATTGGTGATTATACAGAAAGTGTACAAATTGAGTTTGATCCAACACAAATATCGTTTGCTCAGTTACTTACTTATGTTAATCAATGGTATACTCCAAATACTTCGAAAACACGCAGTCAATATGCAGCTGCTATTTTCTATCACAATGAAAATCAACGGCAACAAGTCGATGAAATGAAAATCGAGAATGTACGTGTAGATATGTTTCATAGATTTTTTGAAGCAGAAGATCATCATCAAAAATATAATTTAAAACGAACATTAATGCAAACGGAAATTTTCGGTAAAAAAGAAGAGTGGCAAAACAGAGATGAAGAAATGATTACTAAAATAAATGGATTTCTTGCTGGTTATGGATCAAACGAACAATTTCGACAGTGGGATAAACGCCGAGAATTGACTCTAGAACAACAAAATTATATCAAAGATCGACTGAGAAAATAGTTAATTTTAATATTTGAAATTAATTTTGTAAAATAGTATGAGGAGAATAAAATGAAAGTTTTGCACCTGGAATATCTGGACTAGCTACAACTAATGTTTTATCATCAAGAACTGCTACACAATTTGGTGTTAATGTTAAAGAAATGTGTTTAATATTTTTCATTTGATCATCAAATATGATTAAACGATGATTTTCACAATCAATTATAATCCATGTATTTCTTCGATTAGCATTTATTAATTTCAATGGTGGTTGTAGTGTTTCAGAAAGTTTCAACGTTCGTTTTAGTTCTAGTCGTCGACTAGAGAATAAATCAATTTGCACAATACTTTCTTTTGTATATGTTAATGTGCATAAACAATCAGCTTGACCTTGAAGATCATAAACAAGACAAATATTATCGACAAGATCTTTCAAATCAACAATAGCTTCTTGTAAAAAGTTTGAATTATAAAATTCTATAGAATTATTTTCGTTAAGAATATAAATTCCAAAACGATTTGTTGTTAAACGATGCCATTTAATTGTTTGATTAGATAATTTAATAATATTTGCTTGAATTTTTTTCTCATATTTTTCATATTTATGTAAAGACAGAGATGTCAGTAAAAAGAGACAATTGAATTTTATTGACCAACGCATATCAATGATTCTAGTATCCATTGGAAATTCGATTGATTGTACGAGAGAAATTTTCGATGACATTGAAGCAGTTGAAAATTCAAGTAGACATGGATAAATAGGTGATGGTTCCAATACATAAACGAATAGATCAAGACATGAACTGGCAATATGTTGAATAGATGATTGAAGATTAAGAGTTTTCATTGGTTGGTAAAGTCGATAGTTTAAATCTATTGATAATGGAATAGGTGATTCATGAAATTTTTTTTCAATATTTATATATTTTGTAAAGTCAATTGGATTTGTATCTAAACGAAACTCAAGTAAATGCTCATCATATCGTCTGAGAAGTTCTTTTTCAATACTAATCAAACGTAATATGTCATGATCATAATTATAATCAGTTGGTCGTTGTTTAGCGTAGCGTACATTTGAACGAAGATATGTTAAATATTGAACATATTCTTGTACATATTCATCAGTTTTCATTTTTAACAATTCAAATTGTGTTTTGAGAAATTTTTCAAGTTGATAATGAATTGTGTTTTCGAATTGACAACGAATATCGGCGATCCATTTTTGTAAATGATCAGAAGCTTGACGATATTTTTCATGGAAATTCTCATCAAATTGTATTGGTAAACAATCAATTTGAGATGTTAAACGTTCATCGAGTGCATCAAGAAGATGACTTTGACGATGAACACCTGAACATACTAAACAAAAATACTTTTGACACCTAAGACAACGTATTGATGATGATGAACGATAACAAACGCAACATGACGACATTTTGTTTTTTACAAATGAATCAATAGTTTGATGTTAATGGAGATTTATCAGCAGGTGGGTTCTATAGTAAACATTTTCACCGCTAAGTAACGACCTTCAACATGAAAATTGAATATTTCAAATAATGGCAGTTACATTTAGTGACAAGATGATTCTTGAGGGTGTGCCAATAAGCAATTTCTATTAATCTCGATAATTTCTATCAGTGATAGTTGATGATTTAGGCGAAAAATCTGTAAATAACTATACAAATAATGAATCGTTTCTATGAAACTAATAATGATCGATATAATTTAACACTAAAACTTGATATGGTTATTTTCCGTTAATTGTAATGTGTTTCAATCATATACATTGAAATGTACAAAATATATTATTCAAGGGAAAATATCATCTGTAAGTATCAATTACAATGTCTTCTATTTAGCATTTAAACATCTACAATTTATTCTCTTAAATGAAGTAGTCGTATGTTGAATACGATAATTAATATAGTGAATATGTGAATTTTAGATATAAATATAAATATAACTGTTTCACTCGATAGTTTTTTAGAAACATTTAAAAGTTCATTTGGCGTTGCTTAGAAGCTGCAGCTGCATAATATTTATGTTACTGATGTTAAATTGATTGATGTAAATCAGTCGTTTAAGGACGCATGTATTCATTTTTTTCTACTTGAATAGAACAGCTATCCTAACATATGCCAGTGTTTCATGTTGCTCTACATCCCGTATATATAAATAAATGTATGCATGTAGGGCATGCCTTCCACTGGAAAAAGAATAAAGCTAACTTCAGGGCTTTTTCCTATTTTTCTAGTATAGATTATGTCGCGTCCTTGTCTCATGAATTCTTGGAATAACGTTTGCAAACAACTTGTAATATTTCTTATTTCATGGATTTATCCTCGACACAGTTCTGTAACTATTAATTCTTGGATACTATGAGAATTGAATTGATCCTTCGTTGCGTTTGACTGTTCAGCATAAATATGTCTTTATCATACAAGCCAGTTAAATATCTAATATGCCTTTAATTTTACCCAGATTGTCTTTGAAGCATGTTTATTCGTTGAAAAACGGCATGTGTATTATTTATTACTTTTAATAACAACAGCTACTAACCGATAGGTTCTGAATGAAAAAGCTTTACAAAAATAAAAAGAATGGTCAATTGCGTATAAATACAAATGAACAGTTACAAAAGCTATTTTTGTTTCTGCTATGCGTGCCAAAAATTTTAAAAATCGACACAACAACAAAGTAAATTATCACTTGATATTGCTCTTCTTTAATAAGAAATCTTGAGTATTTTAAATATTAAAACTAGGCCATTTATTTAAAGAAAAGGCGATGATATTAAATAGGACGCACAAACTAGATGAATATCAAAACGAGTAGGACATCATCTAATTTACAAGTTAGATATGAATTTCATTGATACATTTCATAGACCGACATCAATAAGAGAATTAAACAAGACCAAAACCAGATTCATGCATCGATCAATAACTATCAAAATAAACCGCCATTCTAACATATGAAAATGAATCAGGCTTGACATTTATCAGATAGTTCATATGGTCATAATTAACCCTTCTTTTTTAAATCATGCAAGATACATTGTTATTATTGTGAAATCTAACAAAATTCATCATCTTTTATTAGTACTATTAAAATCATTCAGAAAATTTCCAAAGTATAGTTTTAAAATCTTTCATAATACGTATTAACCGAATCATCTGTTGATCAATGTCTACTGCTAGCAACCGATTAGAAATATGGCAGACATGTACTATATATCTTTTCGATTCAATGTTCGTTATTCTTAAAGCCATATTTTTGTTGCTTATCCTGTAAATAAACAAATATAGTATATCGTCAGAGAAGCCCACAGTCTATCTTGCACTATTTTATCTAAAGACATGCACAATACTGTACAAATAGAATATAGAAGCATTCAACATTTCCTTACAAATATCAAACGGATATTTATTCGGAAAAAATTCTTCTTTTTTGATACATGTTGTAAAAGAAAATGATGACTTTGTTTTAAATTTTCAAATGAAATGAACTTTTTTGTTGAGAACTATCTGCATTTGTTTTTCATACACTAACATCACTAAAAATTAAAATCTCAAAAAAATTCGCTTACGATCTCATGATGCTATTACAATACGCTTCATGAAAGTAAACATGTGTGAAGCACTGCACGAATCGTTTGCGTTTAGTTGCTTAGAAATACAATATGATGAGAGAAAAAAGAAAGTTTTTGATTTTATTTCGAATTATCAAGAATTGCGATTGATTTCATAGTCAAAAATTTGAAGAAAATAATAACGCATGCTTGTTTCACGGTTAATCGTATCATAATGTTGAACTTTGTGGAAAGATATAAATCCATCATTGAGATTATAGTGATATTTTCTCTCGAAAACATAACTCGTTGTGCATAGTTCTTAGGGTATTGTAGTTGACATGTTTTATTCTCCGTATTATTTCTATCCGACAACATTGAAATAGATAGAAAAATTGAACTATTTAGCCACATGATTGTTTGAATCGATTAGCACGTTCCTTATATTCGTCTGCTTGTTTCATATACTGCTTGGCTTTGTCACGTAGATATTCTTCAATGTGTGATCACAATCTCTGCAATAAATCATCTTCATGATCGAACATCATCAATTTGCCACAAAAATCCATTGTCCAATCCGCATGTGCTTTGATTGATGCACAAAAAACGAATGTCATGAGAATATGTGGTGAATCGTATATTAATTGTACGATTTTTTTAAGCAAATGAACCAGAAACAATAAGAATAATTGTTTTCTTTACATGAGAATTAATATAAGAGACGCATGGATGAAGTTCAATAAATGTTTGTACATATTGATGATTGCTTAATTTGGAAAGAAAGCTACTCGGTAGGTCGATTGAATTAGCATCTAACCAAATAATCGTCGGCAAATGATCCTGCACTAAAGTGACACGTTTGCAAAAACTATTATCTGAATATGGAATGTCAACATACATTCATATTTTATGCGTTTACATCATATAATTGATGATTCATATTATTTTGCTTTTAAATTCATTGTTTATCATTGTTTTATTTTGACTATGATTCAGCATAACCCAATGCAAATAATATTCTATCAGATAAATCTAGATAAGATCTAAATACTGTGATTAGTAAGTTCAGCAACAAAAGAATGCTAATCTACGATGAAACCTAATGCTTATTCACAGTTCAAGTATATTATTCATTTAGACTGGTATTGCATTTCTGATCCGCTTCTGAGTTTTTTATTTATCGAAACATGCAAATCAATTTGATTCCGTGTTATCTATGCACTTACATTACATTTTAGTTGTTTTCTGTGTACTCAAAAAGTTAGTACACTCTAGAATCGGTCAGTGTGTCCGGCCGGCCGTAGGCACGATAACTTTCGAAAGGAGAGTCAGACCGTGATGAAATTTTCTACACAGTTCAATCTCATGAATATCTCGGTCGAGTTCGAAGATGAGAAGAATCCCTCAAGAAATGGTTGAGTTATCGAAAAAATTGTCATTTTTGACCAGACCATCCCTGAGGAGGGGTACAGGAATTTTTTTCAAAAAACAATTTTTTCTCAGAATTGTTCACAACATATATAAATCGATTCAGTTTTTAACGTTGATTCCAAATCTGATATTAGTTTTGAACCAAATTGTAGCTTTCTAACGAAACATCGCCTGAAAAACGTCTCAAATGCACAAAAACTGGATCCAGAAATCAAACTGTCTAGTTTCTCATGATAATTTTGGTGTTCATACATGCTAGAATGACTCATATGTCCCATGCACGTTTTGCAGTACACATAACTCTCGGATGAAATCCGAAGTTTCCACATTTATTTCTTTTTCATGCAGCATCACAACACTATGAAAATACTAAGTTTGAGTTTATCAGTCATATTGTGAGTGAAGCAACTACTTACAAAACTTTGTTGAGCAATGAAATGAACTTTGTATAGTTTGACGAAAATTTTCCCGTTGCGAAGTTTTCAATAAATTAAAACTGATATATTATTAGTACGTTGGCATATTAGAAGTCTCGATAGTTTTCTTATTAAAACCATCTGCAATATCGCTTGAAGCCGTATGTAATCTACAGTTAAAAAAACAGCGCGCCATGTGTTACAATTTTATATATTTAAAATCTTTGATGCATCCTGTATTAATTGGAAAAACATTCAAATTTTCTCGGATATTGTATATACTGCCTGCCTAGAAGATATCTCACGATGATAGGTTTCCATGTATCCAATCACATGAGCCATAGAAGAGATTACAAAACGTCAACAGCTGTCAGAAATTGGGCTTCATTCGAGTCGAACATCAGCAACTGTATCACTTTAAAGTAGACATTCATATCCACAAATAATAGTTAAGATTTTATATCTAAAACTCAATTAAAAAATGTTTAATTGACAATCAAACTGTGCAACTACTATAACAAAACAACAAATATTTTCCCTTATTTCTATCAATGAAAGATGATTTCTATATGATACCAAACAATATATGCAGCATATTTCCAGAATATATCAATGATAAAATAAATATATTGATAAATTAACACCCAAGAGAGCATTTGAAATATGTTCATAGTAGTTCACATTTATTACAAGAAGGTTTTTGTTTTGTATATATCTTTATTTTACTCCTTACTACTCCAACTGATTCTCAACAACACTATGCACAAGCTACATACCTTGATTATCTGGTGTCTTGATATTTTATAAGAAATCGCTACCATCATCCATTCTATGATTATGCACTATCTAGAAAAATGTTCGACATCTAGTCCAATGAACGTAATTTTAAATCTTACGTATACTAGTCGTTGCTGATTTTTCTGCTGTTATTCAGTTCAAATGTATTTGACTTTTTGTTGATCTATGCTTCTGAATGTGAGCCCTTGTTTATAGAAGATACGATGTTTAGTTTCTCGTATACGTATAAGAATTAAAACGAAAAACAAACTTCTAATTATTTTCCTATATAAGCATAGTTAAAAGCTGTTTAAAAAGAACATTTTTACAGGCAATTTGACGAACTCTCTTGAACATATAATGAGAAAAACAAATGCCAAGGAAATTTAGTATTACCAGCACTTTACTCTAACATCCTATTTAGTATTTAACATATACTAATGTGAGCTAAAATTAGTAGTGATTACATATAATAGTAAAATGTTTTTAATAAAAAAATGATAATAGTCATAATAAGTTTTAAAAATATCATCAAATAGATGAGCAAATGAATTCTATAAATAATTACAATATTTCTTCTTCATATGAGAAAAAATACTTCGAAATATCAATTTCATCTATTGAACTTTTCATTTTCACATTGAAATAAACTCCAGTGAAAAGATTATACAATTTGCATTGATCATTGGCGGAAAAAACTTCGTTTGAAAATATTTCAATATGGATACGATACCATGATTTTTTTTCCTTACAGAAACTATTTTGATCATAAGTGTGGAAAACTGAATTGTTACAACATTTATTTATCAATTCCTTATCTATTTTTTTCTGACTGTTAATTACTAAGAAAATTTTTGTTTTTATCAGAATATATAGTCGAAATCATTCGTGTTGTGCAGACGTAGCTGCTATATAGAAGCTAAGATAGATTGTTGAAATATTTCTCTTATATAACCTATGCAAGAAAATATTAGTCTCTTTTCTTTCATGTTTCTATTTCTGCCGATTGTATCGTCTTCGTTCGCTTATTCTTTTTTTCAATACCATACATATGTAACGGGAAAATAGGAAAGAAGAACAATCCATAATAGCATCAGGCTAATAACTATGCTTTGAGGCGAACAGCGCCACACGCGTTTGTGCAGTTCATTCTTCTATGTATACATATGTGCAGATATACATACAACTGCGGTGTTCTCTTCCTTAACAGTACTACTCCATATGTCCATATAAGGAAATACTGGTTGTTCTTTTCCCATCTAGAAAAACCGCAGATAATACCAAATATACTATCATGCATATCCTTATACGGCATACTAGAGCGGCCGAGAGAAAAAGAGAAAATAGAACTTACTATATAACGTTCGGTCTTATCCATTATAAGCTTGCCTTTTGTGTTTTGCATATTCACAGCAACATCATATCTAACATTTACCACTCGTATTAAGAACTAAGCAGAGAAATGTGTGACGAAGACGTTGCCGCTATTGTTATTGATAATGGATCGGGTAAGAGAAAAAGAAGCAATGAAATTTGAAATTGTTATACGTGTTAACATTTATTATGTACAGGTATGTGTAAAGCTGGTTTCGCCGGTGATGATGCTCCACGATCAGTATTTCCATCGGTTGTTGGTCGACCTCGTCATCAAGCCGTTATGGTTGGTATGGGTCAAAAAGATTCATATGTTGGTGATGAAGCTCAATCAAAACGTGGTATTTTAACACTCAAATACCCAATTGAACACGGTATCATTACTAACTGGGATGATATTGAAAAAATCTGGCATCACACCTTTTACAATGAACTTCGTGTTGCACCTGAAGAACACCCAGTTCTTTTAACTGAAGCCCCACTTAATCCAAAGGCCAATCGTGAAAAAATGACTCAAATCATGTTTGAAACATTTAACTCACCTGGTAGGTTTTATCATCAATACACAGTAATAAATAAGACGTAAAACCATTGTTTTTGTTTACAGCTATGTATGTTGCCATCCAAGCAGTACTCTCACTCTATGCCAGCGGTCGTACAACTGGTATTGTTCTTGATTCAGGTGATGGTGTTACACACGATGTACCCATCTATGAAGGTTATGCTCTTCCCCATGCTATTCTTCGTCTTGATTTGGCTGGTCGTGATTTAACTGACTATTTAATGAAAATCCTTACTGAACGTGGTTATTCATTTGTCACAACTGCTGAACGTGAAATTGTTCGTGACATCAAAGAAAAATTGTGCTATGTTGCACTTGACTTTGAACAAGAAATGGCAACAGCTGCATCAACATCATCACTCGAAAAGAGTTACGAATTACCTGATGGTCAAGTTATTACCATTGGCAACGAACGTTTCCGTTGCCCAGAATCACTCTTTCAACCATCATTTTTGGTAAGTTTATTTTTTGTTTTCAAAAACTTGTCTTCGTCAACTTATTTTCTTTTTTTTTCTATCCCTATTGTAGGGTATGGAAGTTGCTGGTATTCATGAAACAACATTTAACTCAATCATGAAATGCGACATTGATATCCGTAAAGATTTATATGCTAACACAGTCTTATCAGGAGGTAAAATTGATACTTAATCATTATCTTTGTTCTTCAAATTAATTATTTAATTTAGGCACCTCAATGTACCCCGGTATTGCTGATCGTATGCAAAAGGAAATTACTGCTTTGGCTCCATCAACAATGAAGATTAAAATCATTGCTCCACCTGAACGTAAATATTCAGTATGGATTGGTGGTTCAATCTTAGCTTCACTTTCAACCTTTCAACAAATGTGGATTTCAAAACAAGAGTACGATGAAGCTGGTCCATCAATTGTTCACCGTAAATGCTTCTAAACTAAAAAACAAATTCATCAAACAATATAGACACACACACATAGAGTTTTTTATTTCTTATTTCTTTTTCTTTTATAAGCTGATTTTCTGGTGCTAAGTATATGTGCTCTACTTCTCTACTTCTAAAATAAACCTTTGCTCATACGCATATCAAGTTGTCTTTTTTATTTTCTTATTTATGGCGCTTCAATGATAGAAATTAGTAAAACAAAAGAAAGAACCATGAAATTTTTAATTACTAATTTCTAGGTTGAAAAAAACTTTGCTGAATATTCACAATCTAGTACAGCTAAATATGTTATTGCAAAATTATTATTGTATGTCTTGACAAGTATTTTCATATTAAAGCATATTATTGAAGTTTATTTTTCAGGTCAACATAATTTGTCAACGAGTCTTATGAAAAATCTAGCAAACGTTAAGAGACGAAAATTTTGTTCTTACTAAATGCTAAGGTGAGGGTGTGTATCGTTTTCTCTGTTTATGATGCCTCCTCTGACATCCTATAATCGCATGTGCAGTCATGCTTACTTGTTTTCAACCTTGAGAGTACCGTAGGTGATTTAAATACAGTATAAACTAATAAAAGTAGTAGAAAGATGAGAATTACTACTTCTGAATGTTTTGTGTTTTTTTCAAAATATTTTATTAACAAATATAGCCATGTTAACTATATATGTTGCATTGTGAAAATCCTCTTGTCGCAATAGTCAATACTTCATAGAATCATACAAAATAAATTTTGTTAAGAAGTGTTACTTCGACATCAAATAAATAAATCTAATTACAGGCTTTTAAAATAATCTGGTGACCTTTATCTGATCATAGGATTGAACAAATTCGAGTTGAAATATGCGAATTTAACGGTTTTCTTTCATTGTCCATTGTCAATATAAACAATAATAAAGATTGTATACTTCGCCCATTCCCTCGAGATGAAATCCTTCGACGCGTTTATAGTGCATTGAGATTTAATGGTTATGATTTAATATTGTATAATTGTGAACATTTTGCTCATTGGTGTCGGTTAACTCTTATTGTTTATACTTATATTTCTGAAAGAATCATTACTGACGACATAAATGTATATGTATATTTAGATATCATATTGCTATAAGTGATCAAGTATCAAGTTTTCTAGCGTTAACGTCAAGTTTTAGCCTAATTATTTGTATTGCTCCATGGACAAAATTTGTTTCTAAGATTCAAACTTCAATCATAAGTGGTATTCTACTTGACACAATTCTTTTCACTTCAACTATGTATCGACATTAGAAAGAGCTCAGTTCTAGTGTTTCTGATTTTATTTCGATCTTTCATGTTGGATTTATTGTAGTCGCTCTATATTCAAAACATTAATTATTAAAAAAATTATAAGCGCAATAGCAATACCATTTTTCCGATCTGAAGTTTTCAAACAAATATTTTAGAAGAAAGCATAAAAGAATAAATAGAAAACAAAAATCAGAGTATATGAAAATTTTCACTAAAAAAAGAATCGGTTAATTTTATCACTTAGATGGGCGTGCACCGAATTGAAATGTCCAGTGGTATCGTAGATTAACTCCAAACATCTTGCGAATATCTATCTTTTTGTGTTAGATCTTTAATGAATGCTGTGGCTCGTTCCAACGTCATATTACCATAAGTTTGAGCAATATCGATTAAAATAGAATGCACATCTCTAGCCATGTTTTTTGCATCACTAAACAAAATTTAATAATAATATAAAACGAATCAATATTCAATGAATACAGAATTTTCTTACCCACAAACATAAATCGAAGCATTATCTTCTTTTATTAATTTCCATAATTTCGCTCCATGATCTTTTAATAAATGTGTTACATAAATTTTTTCCTCTTGATCACGTGAAAAAGCAACATGTAATTCAAGTGCATTTTCTTTAATAAAATAGTTTAATTCTTCTTCATATAGATAATCTTCAGCTCGATTTCGACAACCGTAATAAAGAATTGTTTCACCTACGGGTTTACCTTGAGTTTTAAAAAAATGACGTTCTTGTATAAAACCACGAAATGGTGCTAAACCAGTACCAGGACCTACGAGAAAACAAAAGAAAATCAGATGAATACTTATGCTTTGGAAATCTAGAGTATATTGATGTAATTCAGTTCTAAGTTAAAATTGTAGTTAATTTGAATCTCAAGTTATTTTTCAGACAGAGACCATATCATTCGTTAGACGAGCTCTTATTCTCTGTATTGTTCTAAACGTAATGCAATTCATCTCGTATGTATGATTTCAATTGGATAGTACAGATGGTCCTACGAATGATAAATAGATCGTTTCAAATGTATTATACTGTCATTCTTTTGTTTTTCTTCTCATCGTTTTATCTCTCTATTGTTTCTTTGACTCGTCCCTGAAATATACTATTGTATTGTGACCTTCTTAAGATTTATTGTTCTTTTCTTCTTAAACATGTTCATTCTGTTCATTTCTTAGATATGTATAGAGATTGTCTCGGAATTCAAAAAGGATTCTAGTTCTCAATAAATTCATCAATCAAAGAAGTATTTAGTTACATACCAATCATAATAATTGGTGTTTGAAATCGAAATGGTAAACGAAATGATGATTTACGTATAAAAATTGGAAGACGATTAGGTAAATGACAAGTATCGTCTTCTTTATGTTGAGCACAACCTATTGCTTGATGTCTCATATATAATTCTTTGAAACAATTTGTTGCAACGCCTTTTGCAACACGTTTTGTTGGTGTTTCAAAATGAACAATGACAGCTGTAATATGAATAGACGTTGGGTGAACTTTTGCTGATGATGATATGGAATAATAACGTGGATGTAAACGTGGTAATAATTCACATAAATGATCAAGTGGTGGTTTCAATGATGATAAATCTTCAAGAATAGCAACTATTGAACGACAACTATCAAGTATCCACTCTTTATATTTAATCTGATTAAATCAAAATGTAAATAGAAAAGAAAAATTGGCTTAAAAATATAGTTAAGTTTCATTTACTTTTCCGTCTTCACTATACGAGCCCATTAATGTTAATAGAGTTTTATCATTCTCATCTGTGGCATATTGTGCTATTTCTTTAAGTATTTGTGTATTGGGCATACTTGTTAAATCTAAGTAGTATGTTAATGCAGTACGATAACTACATGGACAGGGAAATGGAAATTTCTTTTGTGCATCCTCTGTAAAAACAAAATGACGAGAGCATATATATATAAAGAAAATACAGACCATCCACATTAACAAGTGCAATAATTTCGTCCAGATTAACATCAAGTAATTCACCAACACGATTAACTAAAGTTACATCATTTGACGGAAATACAGCCACGTGGTAGCCAACTTCATATCTAATAGCGAAACGAAAAGAAAGAAAAAACACACAAATAAACTTTCTATCTTAATGATAACATCACAAAATGTAAATATATATATATATGCAGAGAGAGAGAGAGAATTATAGTGTTTACTTTATATTTGTTGCTGATATATCCAACTCTAAGTGCAAACACGAACGAAGACAATCCTTTTGAAATAATTCACGACTTTTAGTAACTGGTGCTAAATATGGATTGCGAGCATCATACGGTCTATGATGAAATAATTATAGTTTTTCTTCGTCGGTTTCTTTTGTTAAAAAATGAACGTACGGTTTTTGTTTTTCATAAGATTTCAATCGACCTATTTCACCAGTGAAAACACTATCAACAGAAAATGGCCCTGGAACAAGTTTATATTGTCTCATTCTAATAAAGAGATACTCATATATCAATATCAAGAGAAAGAAAACATACGATGCTCCATCAGTATTTATTACGAGTTCATATTTATGACAAACATTTTGCCAAAATATAGTTGTCCATGCCATAAAATCATCTTCAACACTACAAACAAAAATTAAATTAACAAAATGTTTTAAACTAAATCAGAATTTCTTATGCATACTTCCCATCATCATCACCAAGACCTAACTCACATACGCGAACACCACCCAATTCAGCTATACGTTTATCAACAAGTTTGCCGACAGCATTATAATGTTCATATGTTTTATTACCAAGGCCGAAAACCTTTGAAACGAAAACAATTATTTTGCTCACTATATTTTTATACGAATAAATCTTACAGCATAATGTAGATCAGTTAAATCTCGTTCATCTCCACGTAACCATTCATAGAATTCTTGAGCATTATCTGTTGGGTCACCTTCACCATATGTTGCCAAACAAAACAATGCTAAGTGTTTATCAATCGCTATTAATCGTTTTAGTTCTTCCTAATGGTAGGAGAGAGAGAGAGAGAGAGAAACTAGCCATTTGATGAATGCAAAATTCAAATAACAAACCATATCACATTCTTCAGGATCACAGACAGCTGCAGATATTCCATAACGTTTAGCTTGTTTAGCTATACGCTGAGCAAAATCTTCTGCTGTACCCGTTTGCGAACCATAAAATACAACCATTTTCTTATTAGAATGTATCATACGATCTACAAAACTGCCTTCTTGAGAAGCTCCTGTTCCTTTCACTCCTACATTGTCTCTAGAAAATAGAAAATAGAAAACAAACAATAAATTATTTATAGTTACAAGCTAATCGACAAACAAAGCAGAAATAAAAAATTACATTCGAAAGTTTCTAATTGTTTGTTTGATATCGTCTGATTTAGATGAGGATGGCTCACGCTGAAACCAATATACTGCAATCAGTGCTATTATGAGTAGTACTATAGAAATAGTAATATCAAAGGTAGTAAATTGAAATGAGAGTAATTCCATATTTAGGCTGAAGGAAAAATCTATAAAAAAGAAAAGACTATAAACCATAAAAACATGCGGATTTATATATGTTTTTGGTTTGAGCCTCGGTAAAAAAAATCATGTTCTTTGCTCTAACATAAACCAGAGATGTGTCATTGTGCACACTTTGCATATTGATAAATATTCTATCGTACTCTTTGTTCGTTCTTTTTTCAGCTTCATAAGAATAAAACGTACGCATACCGGGCAAACCCATTTTACATTCTTATTTGTCATTCTTTTTCTTCAGTTATTCATTTGATTGACAATAAACAAAACTAATCTGCCGAAATGAGATTTCACATATAATCAAAAAAAATCAGGAAACAACAAAGCAACTATCAGAACAGAGCACCGACTGAGTGAATGTAACATTAGATTTCAATAAGCAATTGACCAAACACTTGACTTTTGACATGAAATACCTTCATGATCTCCACATAGTCGATTGAAAGTTGAATCTTGTTCAAAACCAAGTATTTCTCTATCTTCTTGTATTCTAAAACTAAATGTTGATTCATAACTACCAATAAAATAACGAGCATGTGCACATATCCATTGATCAACAATGGCTTTACCGCCATCTAAAATTTTCTCTAGAACTTTTTCATTGGGTCTATACGTATATATTTGATTGCTCGATATCTCACATAATTGATGAGCATGTTGACGAAGTGTATCAATTTCATTTTCATCAGCGTCTGTTGCAATAAACGTAAGCGACAGATTCAAACGATTTAGATGATGGCACACTTGACGAGCAGCATGTTCAAGAGATGGAACATATCCTGGACGTGCTTTTATATAATCACGACGACGCAAATGAATACCAATATAAGGACCACCCATAGCTTGACTATGATGACGTTTCATTTTAGTCCAATCATCAATAAGAACAGTACGATCGATTAAATCCGTTGAATTTAAATAATCAGCACGAAAACGATTACCTGGAAAATTTAATTAAAATTGAAAAATCTTTCACATTTTTTTTTCAATAGAAACAAAAAACACAGATCCTCACCAAGATCTACAAGTTGTTTTGCATATCTCATACTACGTCTTGCTCGCCAATAATTATAACCACCATAGTCAACATGCAATAACGTTTCAGCTCGATCAAACATGATACTTTTTACAAATTGTTTTTTATTTCTATCATCTAACCATGTTATATTTTGAATTAAAAAATCCACAAGGACAGTAACAAAACCTTGAGCTGATAGACACTGAAATTGTCGAGCACGTACTCGATCGTTATAACCAAAAAACCATCCATAATAATAATTATCATTTCTTTTTTCATACATTGGTTCCTCATTGCATTTACGTATTTCTAATTTTTCTTCAAAATGTTCTCCCCATCCTTCACTAAAATGTTGTAATGTATACACATATGGAATTGTTATTTGAGATGTTGACGAAGATGATGATGATGATGTGAATAACTGAAGAAAATCTTCAAATTCAATAACAGGTATAAAACGTGAAAGACTTTTTATATCAAAAAAATGTGACCATTCCAATTGAGTCCGTGGAAGATTATGAGAAAACCAATGGTACAGTGGACCCCATGGTGGAAGAACAAGAACCCAATTCGAGTCTGTTGATTTATGTTCACGAAGTGTATGAATAAGATTAGCCATTCTTATATAAACATCACGACGTAAATTAAAGCCTTCTCCATGATTAACATCATACAAAACATAATAGGTAGAAGATGTTATTGATGCACAAGAATCTTTGGTACATTGTTGATGATTATTATTATCATCATCATCAATCAATGAATAAGCAGGCTGGAAAATGAACAAGAGCAAGAATGCGAAAAACAACATTAACTCTGAAATAAAAATATTTCTTCTTTTGATTTTTTTTCGATCCAGTCATAAAAGCGTGTCGTTTATTAGTAAATGAGATTAAAACCCAAACAAAAAAAGACTGGCAAAAAAAAACAAGGATTGCACGCACACGGGATTGGTTATCTATCATTATTATGTTGTGACTAATCATAGATTCGAATGATTGTCACATTATGACTAGTGATGCTTTGCACTTTGATTTTGCTCCCAACTCGACAATAAAATATTTGCCATATATAAACTAAATGCATGAATTTGAATAGTAATTATTAAAAATATATACCAAAGTACTAATAATGGGAAACCAAGAAATGTTTGTGGTTCAAGTTCATCTAATTGATGATTAGTTTTTAATTTTTTAAATGTGAACAATTCACTTAAATTAATTATTATTGTTGTAATAATTGTACCTAAGCCAAATATTGCTGTGCCACGAAAAAATATTTTCATTAAAAAAATACGATTTTTATTTATCGATAAAAGACCACATATGGATGCGAAAACACTATTCAGCCAAATATATTGCCATAGATGTGGACGTGGTACATTTAGTGTTGACATCAACGACGTATGATATGTAAGAATATGAACAAAAACAAGAACACCAAGTAGAAAATGAGAATAGATTAATATGCGAAAACGAGATTTGCTTTCTATACTAGCACGATAATGTGGAGCAATACACTCGCGATGTTGATAATCACTACCATCAGTACCAACAATATGTTGTGACCCTGGAAGAGACATCTGCAAAGATAAAAAACAAAACGATGAGTTTATTTTTACCAGTTAATTTTACAAAAAAAAACAATACGAAAAAACGATCCTGATTTGTTCGTTTGATTCGTGACTTCACAATAATTTGTAATAAATCAATCGAAAATCTATCACACATAATGATAAAATACAAACAACAACAACAACAACAGTAACGATAAAAGCGAACGTCAAATACGTTTTGTTTGAGAACTTCGTGAATCAACTGTTTGAGTCATCTTAATATCAAATGACACTCCATCGCCACATGGTGGTGATGCTATAAGTGGTGAAAGTAATATTAAACGCCATCGTTTACCGAAAACAACTTCCAAATTTGATTGTAAACATTTTTGACTACTATAGATATGAATATTTTTGCCATATTCATACCATGTTTGACCATTAGCAAGCAGATATATTTGTTGAATAGTTAGAAATAATACATAAAGACTCAAGACAATCGATGTTGAACAAATAAATGAAAGTAGAAGAGAAAAATGATCGAGAATACGAAATAACCATGCACCAAATGGAAACAGACATGCTACAATAGATAATAAAATATATGTCGATAAGTATCATATACCAAAACCCTCTATGAAAACTCGGAAATATTCCCATCTGCTATCTGGAATGGTCTTATAGCAAACTATCGTCTATTCTTCTGCATGAGAAAATATGTTACTATTCTATAAATAGGTCACATCAGTCTTAACTATTACAATATGTAAATTGCTTGTCTTTTCTTCCTAAATACTTAATTAACCAGTTATTTTTAGCTCGTCTTTATTATAAAAAAATACGAGGTATAATAAAATACAAACAATGAGAAATACATGAAAGAAGTAGTAGTTTTTTTGTGTATGAATTATACTGTTTGATAGGGAATTTTATCAGCATTAATTGAAGCAACATACTATTTTTAGTACCAGGGTACTCATACGTAGAGTAGTCGTGGGGGGGGGGGGGGGGGGGGGGGGGGGGGGGGGGGGGGGGGGGGGGGGGGGGGGGGGGGGGGGGGGGGGGGGGGGGGGGGGGGGGGGGGGGGGGGGGGGGGGGGGGNCCCCCCCCCGCCCCCTCAAAACAAATTGGTGAATAATTCTAGATTACAATCATCAAAAATTGTTTTTTTTGTTATTCAAATTAAAAATTATTTTCATAATGTACCTTCAATAGAAAAGAATGATATCGAGAACTTAAGAGTTCATTCGAAAAAGTATTCGATGATATTTTTATTGTAGAAGTGTTCAATCAAGGAATTTTATGAATAAGAAGAAGATAACAAGAAGCATCGTGAAAATTTTAATGAAATATAATTTGAGATCAAATAAAGCGTTTACTGAGTATTTATGTATTATTACTATAAAAATCATTCCAACCTCAGATAAGTATCTTTTATCTGATTTTGTTTTCAAAACTTACAAATCAATACTCTTGTTCTAGAATAATCATAATAATATATTTTTCTATAATTGGGAAATCAAAGACTTCTATGAGAATTTGTCGAATGATAAAAACAATCATGATGCAAAAAAAACTAGATGAAATAGAAGCAAGATGTAGAACATTATTCTTTAGAAGTTAGAACCCTATTTATGATAGATAGCATAATGGTTTTCTCATTATTTATATGAACTACATGGCATTCAATGAGGGAATGCGTCATTTCCGTACCTCTAAATGAGATATTATGTTCAGACTATTCGCTATGGATTCAAAAATAATAATGATTAAAACAAACTCATTTCTTCTAGTTGAATTATTGTAATTGTATGGACTAGACGATCTTTCTGATGTAATTAAACTTATTCGTATTACTGAATACTCTTTAATGGGGATACTATTTTTTAATCAAGAAATAGTGCAAGACTATTTTAGCTTCTCGACAAATCTCACTTGTATACGTAGCAAAAATATCCAGTCATTATTCAAAAAATTATAACTGAGATACAATAGAGAGGTCAATATTAGTTGAGTATTATAAGTTTCTTTAGGCATTTAATTTTTAGCTAAGATTGAAATGGTTTAAGTACTTTGGATAATCAATATATAATAAAATTAGTAGCATAGAAGAAGAATACATACAGGAGGGTTCTTTCTTGGTTTCTTTTTTAAACATCAAATGAACCTACCGACAATTACACGCCATGAAAAACTACCAACAAGCTCATAGGTATAATCTACATGAAGAATATTGCAATAGCATAAACCGATCTTAAATTAAAAATCAAAGGTAAATTTTAATTTGTAATATCTAAATCTATTTAAAGCAAAATTTACTTACTCCAGTCCAAATAAGAAAGCAAACATAATACCGAATATTTCTAAAGCCAATACATCGACCAAGAAATGAACAATGATGATCACGTTTTAAAATACATCTTTTACATAAATGACAATGTTGAGTACGCGGTGGAACATTTACTTCACAATTATAACAATAACGCCAATTACAATGTTGAAAAATAATATCTTGTTGATTGTTTTTGTCTGACATAGATGTTGGTATATTTTGTTGTGGTAATAAAACTGGACATATTATTGTATCGACCGATGTATCAGTAGCCATACATAAAAATAAATTTCCAATTAAATTGAAAATAATATAAAAACCAAATAGAAGATGAAGAATTTCTTTATAAGTAAATATATTATTATAAATTGCAGGTAAAATAACATATAATTCGAATGTAACATAAATAGTAATAAGAATAATGACAAATATTATTGGAATTATTTCACTTCGCTCTCTTGGTATTAAAAATTTTAGTTTACGATTAACCATTTTTTTTTCGTTTTCTAAAAGTAAAATTAGAGAATAAAATATTTTCCGAAATCAATATTTAAGATTTTCCAATAAATTCATAATCTTTTCCTTACGTCAACAGTTACTGGGATCGAAACTAGGAAAATTAATCTTGTTTTTGTCAAATTAAGTTTTCAAAAAAAAGGCGATAGATGTTTTTGACCATTACACGAAACTAAAAAAAAAATAATTTAAAACGATCTCCACAGAATTTTATATTTTCCATTAGAAGTCGTTAATTAGGATTGTTCGAAAAAAAAGAGAGAGATACTGAGTGATCAAAACTTGTTAATGTCAGACGGGGGGAAAAAAAGTCAACAAATACGAATGTCTAGAGACTGCCAGCTGTTGTTTAGCATTTTATAAGAGAATATTCTATAGCAGATGTTCAGAAGGAGGAGAAAATGAATCAATCAAAAGTAGAATCGAGCCCAAAAAACAAAAGATTCTTAATGAAATGTATTTTATAGGTAACTTCTTCTCAAAACTAGACATCTCGTAGATGGGGACTTAATCTGTTTTTTAACGAAAACATCCATTTCATTCATGTCTATTTTAACCGAAAAAAGAGATTCAACTAAAAATAGTTATTTGTTGTGAAAAAAATAAAACAAAAGTTAGATGATAATAGGCCACCATCAATATGGTCAATTATATTAATGCTTTTTGTATATGCAAACAAAACAAACGACAACAACCATTATGATGATGTTTCATATACATAAAAGGAAAGAATAGACAAAAATACATGTAGAAAAGAGCGAATGAGACATTTGGTAATGATGTTAATATGCGGAAAGGGTACGGTTTGAATCTGTATTAGATAGAAAAGGAAAAATAAACAATGTATACACACAAATAAACACATACACGTATATGAATAGGGGAAAATATCGAGAGAAAAAAAGATTGCGAATATACGTTTACAAAAACAAACAAAAAAAGAGAAAGAAAATGGGCTGCATGTTATGATCATCTAAAAATAAAAATGGCTGTTGTCATCATTTTCAAATCTCACTCTATATATAGATATTGTATACGTAATTAGTTATATATGTATTACATAGTAGATTTCATTTTTTTTTCTTATTTTCATTTAGTTGTTGCTTGTCGAATGTGTTGATAAACAAAAATCTTGAGCATTCGGATCGAGATTAGATGTAGCATTTTGTAGTGGTGGTGGTGTAACAGCAGTTGGAGGATAAAACATAGTTGTTGAACATGACGAAGTCATTGTTGTTGGATTATTATTTGTGTCAATTAATTGATGTGTTGGTGATGAGTGTCCAGATGATGTTGAACAATGTGAATGAGGATGACCATTGAATATACAATTATTTGGTTGGTGTTGAGATTGTAATGCAATGATCAGTTCACGTTCTTTTTCTCGAATAGCACCTGTGGAGAAGAAAGGAAAATCAAATTCCGAATTTCTTGTTCAAAAATTCTATTATCAAGTTAATCAATACAAACCGTTGGCTATTTCAAGTTCTCGTTTAACTTCACCGAGTGCAGAGAAAAGATCAAGTTTAATTCGAGTTTCAGCACTAAGACTATCTTGTAGCTGAGCATTTCGTTCTCCTATTTGTGATAAATGTTGATAGAGAACTTCAGTATCCGCTTGAGATTCACGATATTTAAGACCCTAAAAGATAAACATTCATTTTTTGTCACTGTCTTCGTTTTATCAAAAAAAATTAATTAAGTATGAGATCAACTTTGAAATAACAAAGATTTTCTATTCATTCTGATTTCTCAGATTCACACACGATGAAGACAATTGATAAAAATGTTTCTTTATTCATTATACTGAGAAATTAAACATGGCGTATCAATATTTTCTTATATACAATTGACAATTGCTGTCAAAAGATCCGGGCAAACAAGAACATTCACTAGTCCCATACAATATTTTAATTTTATGTATTCGGTACAAAATATAGGTGACTTTGATTTTATTTCTGTACGTTTATCTAACGACACCCACGTCTACACCTGTATATACCCACACTCACATAATTATTTCGCACCCTCAGGTCTGTTTTTATTTGAAATTTTCTTTTATGTTATTTGATTCCATAGAACAAACGGTAAATTGTATAAGTAGAAGTTTTTATCATAGTTTCATTTTTCAATCTATACCGGCAATTTACAACAATAACGGCATAACAACTTTCTCGTTTTCCGATGTTGTTTAACCAATTTTATTTGTTCAAAACAATATGAATAAGAACATTATAAATTACATGAATCATTGTATTAGAATGGATATTTCATGTTAAAAAATCGTTTTATTTTGTCTCTCTATCTGTACTTTAGCTATAAATAGATGAGACATTTTCATGCGATTGAATTTAATGATTGAAAGATGCATAACAAATTCTTTTTAAAAACTTGCACTATTGAGAAGTCGTTTCCATAGAAAATGCTTCTCTTATGATACTACCTACTTTCTGTGATTTTCCTACGTTATCAGTAAGAAAAGTACAAATAGAGTGTAGTAGAGCAAGTTCATCTAGATTTTATTCTCTATCGATGTTGCTGAAGTCATGATAAGATTTTGGTTTCTGTAGTTTATAAATTAGAACAATCTACCATAGGTCATAGATTTAAAATATGGATTTGCTACAAATCTACGCTGTTCTCATAATTTATATGCGTTCTATCGTGTATGAATAAAACTCGTACGAAAAGGTGTCTATTTGTGAATAGGATATATCTATATGGTGAAGAACATAATTATTTAAAATAAAAGCTTCATTCAAATAGAATAATTCATGCAATGAAAGGTGCAATTTTGAATGCTATATTAAACAGAAACAGGGACGAATCATCATTTCAAAAATAAAATATTGTTATAGCATTTTTTGTTTTAAGACTTTGGCTATGACCTGAAAAGATTCGTCTCAACAACTCACATTAACGTGAAAGATACGATGAAAAGCGCTAGTCATGCAATTATAGTTTCATTCATGGAATCAAGCAACATGAAGAAAATCTTAATCTATAATACATTCGTAGCACTTTTTAATAATAAGTCGTTGGAGAATTTCGAAACGATAAAGCATGATATTCTATGACTACAAACAAAATGAATCAATTCATTGGTGTGATGATTTTTTCACTAGTACAATAACGATTACGAGTCTTTTGTCTGCTGAAAACTTAGTCATTCTAACTTATGTAGATTTTAAAACACACAAAATAAATATTAATATAATCCAATGATGAGATAAAAATAATTAGCCTACTGTTTTAAGGTTTCCTTCAAAAAAACATTTAAACGTAAATGAATTCTCATTGATATTCATAGAATTTTATAGGATTAAAAAATAACACACCATTTGAATAAGAACTTGTTAGTATAATCAATAATGATTGTATGAATACAAAAATAGAACGTTATTTCTTTTTTTTTTCTTTACTTACTTTAATTTCATTGTCAAGTATTTTTATTCGTTCGTCTTTGTCATTAAGCAATTTACGTATTTCGCGTGTTTCATTCTCTAGATCACGTTTTCGCTTCAAACATTGTTCTGTACATTCACTTCTACAATCAAAAAATTATTAAACAACAAAAAAAAGTGAATTATCTTTTAATAAAAAGAAAACAAACTTTGCTGGTGTTAAACTTATTTTTGTTAGATCATCTTGAAGCTTTTTCGTTAAAGATTTTTCTGTTTTAATTTGCGACTCTAAGCGTTGTTTATTTAGTCGTTCCTCATTCAAATTTCGTTCAAGATCAGTTAGACGTTGTTTATCACGTTGCCGTTGAGTATTAACTGAATCATATCTTCAACAAACAAAAAAATAATTCAACGTTTATTTTATTTCATTTTCAATCCTAGTACTGTAACATACTTTGTTTTCAGATCATTATTTTCAGCACGCATATCTTCTAGATCTCTTCGAAGATTTTTCAAGTCCGTTACTTGTGTGCGTAATTGTATTTCCGAATACTTATGCTTGTCAAGCGTTTGATTCAATCTTTGTATATCAGCTTCTAATTTACTAATTTGTAGACTAAAATAAAATGAAAACAAAATTTTTCAATTGAAGAAATCGATTGTTTTTTTTCAATTCCAGATATTGGGAAAGGTGAACGAAAAGGAAGTTCTGCCAATTAATTCATTGTGTTGAGTCACGATAATATTGCGTCATGCAGACTCTAATGAGTTATGAATACTTCGAAAAGATCGATGAGCATTAACTTATCGTTTTAGTAACACACTGCAAGATTACAGTTTAGAATAAATTAGCTCTCTAAACTCATTCCAGAACATTGATGTATACTTTCAAACTTAGAAAAAAAAAATATCAGTCTTGATGAGAATACATTGTACGGAAATAGATTCTTTGTTCTTGTTTTAAATGTATCTATAGTAACAATGTATCGTTTATATAGTTGACATACAATTGCACCATAGTACTAAATGTTGAGACCTAGAACTTTTGTAGAGCAGATATATTTGTATATAAAATTTCAAATTTTCACTTGAAAAACAAGTGTTCCAATGAAAAATTAGGATATCAAATAAAAAATATCATAGACACGTTTTGAATCTGCAAAAATAATACGGTAAGAACTCAAACTGTTCTCCGTTTATTATTTATCTCGTATTAGAATCTACATGACTCACATTAGATTCGACACAATGTAATATAAATTAATTTGAAGAATAACCTTCGTTCAACTATGAACACGTATATTAAAATGAACTTACTTCTTTTCAATATCTGAATTGTCAATCAAAGTAGGGACTTCGAAACCATTGACATATGAAGCAGATGAATCACGTGATACCGGTTGCGCTGGTTCCTGTTTTTTCGATTGCCGCCGACTTTGAGTATTCGTCGATGTCTGTTGCTGTGAATTTGAAGATTTTTGTGACTGTTTTTTCTGCTGTTGATTTGTTGCATTATTAAGATTCGATAGTGATGAATTCTGTTTCTGTTGTTTAAACGATAATGAACTATCGTCATGTCCATTGGTTGCTGTCGTTGTCGTTGTCGTTGTCTGAATTTTATTATTACGTGTTGTTGTCTGTACAAGTGGGTTTGAATTCGATGAAGATAGTCCATCAGAATTATTTATGGTAGTTGGATTTACTTTGGATGAACGTTTTGAAACTGTACAAAATGATGACGATTGTGTCTGGGAATTATTAACTGTTGAATTATTAGATAATGAAGTCGAACTAAAATTTGTAACAATAGTTGACGAAGGCGAAGGAGATGGCGGATAAGTTCCATCACTGTTGGTTTGTGATAAGTCATCATAATTCTCAGAGAATGCACCTATTTCAAATAAAATGAAATCTAAATGAATATTGAGTAGAAAAAGAAATTTCCAATCAAACCTTTTTCTCGGCTCAATCGTTCTTTCTCTGCTTCTTGTTGAATTTCAACTGGCAATGCTTGATTAATTAATTGAATGTACGTTTCATTCGTTTTCCGTACATCACGTTGTTTTCTCTATTTAATAGATGAAAGAAAAGGCTAAGTTTTATTAAACGAAACTAATTCTTACCAATCTCCATTTATAAGCAAGATACGTTTTAAAACCAAAACCTAATGTTACCATCGGATAGCCGATACTAAAAAAAGAAAAGAAATCATATAAAATAGATTTTAAATGAAAACTAGAATTCAATATATACCAATGCGCAGCAAATGGTCGACAAAGATCTATAGTTTTAATTTCACGTAATCGTACTGATGCTTCAAGCCACACAAATAATACCCAGAGAACAACCGTACCAAGGCAGATTCCACGTTCTAATCAGTTACATGTTCGATGAATATTTTATAAATTCTTTTGTTTTTAATTTTTCTACCTGTTTGCCAAACATACTGAATCCAGACATAACTACTTGCGGCAAAGAATAGCCATTGTACAGGTAATAGTATATAACAAATGAGATCGGTTACGAATGCAATAAGTACAAAGAATATCGAGAAAAGCTAGAAGATTAATGAAAAAATTTATTTTTATTTTTATTTATTTATTATTAATTAAACAAACCAATCCTTGGTACTTAAATGAATCACAAATACTTCGTAAAACAAGCCAAAATGGCCAAAGAAATTCAAATCGAAATTCAAGAAGAAAATCAGCTGCCATGATGACACCCCATATACAAATGAATTTCAGGTACATTAAAGCACTAAATATATGTAATAATATTATGTTATTTCAATGAAACATCATGTATTTATTCATCTAGTACCTTCCATAGATTCCCTCAGTAAGACGAGGACGTCGAGTTGATTTGCGTACTTTCACACTGTCGAAATTGGTCCTTCGTTTCATTATTGTGATGAAACACAATATATAATATGGTCATAGACAAAACTAAAACAAAGCCAAATATTTTCCCTCTATTGAACAGTTACCATATAACACAATAACAAGTTTTAGAAGCGTAGAAGGATGGTTTACAACAGAACAGAGTGAAAAGGAAAAGCAGACATAAACATGACTTATATGGCTCTATGTTTTGACGAGCGAGAGAGAGCGCTTAATTATTTGTCCTAGATGTCACTCATTAACAGATAATGAATGTGGCGCAGGAAATCAATTTATTTATGAAAAAATATCACACCGACTTCTGATAAACATCTATGATGGTCAGAATTCTTTTCAATGTAACACAAAATAAATTCAATTTTGAATAACAAAATCTAATATAATTAAGTTGCAACATATTTTCTTGAATTACGTTTGAGTGAAAAACAATAAAATTCACAAGCATACCAGCACTTAACAACTTGACTGGTTACTGTTTTTCTTTCTCCCGTTTATTTTCTGAGTCAAGATAAACAAGCAATTCAAAGTAAAAGAAACTTCTCGATTAAAACATCTCCCACTAAACTGGTTCGAATCATAATTGATGACATACGTCTTTCAAAGAAGAGAGATTAAAAGAATTCTTGTTTATATATGATTTTGTTATTTGTCGACGAAATGCACGATTTTTTCATATATCAAAGGGATAAAAGATCGGGAAAGAAATGTAATTTCAATTTCATTGTACTGTTTTATAGTCTAGATACTATTATGGCAACGAACTCGTTGTATTCTCTCTGTTTTCTGTTTATTAAAATTATGCACTAGCTAGCTAATACATACGATGCATAGTGTAGAAGAATAGGCATGATTCGAAGTCATACAAAAAGCATACTTTTCTCTTTTTTTGATATTATTGATGATGTTTTAAGTTTGATTTTGATATTTGTTCTAATTTATCATCTGAAATATTCATACTCTGTGAATCAATATATGATTCAGTATCTGCAAGGAAATATCGATGATGATAAGGATGTCGTGTGAAAAAGCAAATATTTAAATTTGATCGTATATTTTTGTTGTTGTGTGAAGAAATTACAGTAAATTGATATGACTGTTTTTATATTTTCCTTCAATTGTCAACAGTATTGAAAATTTGAACAAGACTTTTTTTCATATTAATAAGCAAAAGTGAGTGAGCATGATATCAGTCTTGATTGACGAACTTTCTTGTAGCACTTTCTATTATAGAAATTAGCATTACAATATGTCTCGTTGCTTACTGTGGCAATTTTACAAATCAGTATGAAGTAACTTCAGGTAGCAATGTCAATAAAGATTAATTTATATCTCAAATTGCTTTGCTCAGTACACGGTAAAGAAAAAGACTCTGAAGAATCATCTAATCCATAGTATATAGAAATATAGATTTGGATTTGTTGTTTTTAAGTTTATGTTTGAAAATAGACGAGAATTGATTCATAATGCTCTTACTACTCTATTCACATGGAATAAATAAAAATGATCAACTGTTTGTTGAAGAGAAAATAATGAATGAACTTAGTAGGATGGAATTGTGTTGATTCACAATCGATATGACTAAAGCGCGTTTTACTAGTAGATAATGACATTATTAATAAGACCTGTGTGAGTGACGCAGAATGTATTCATACTCAGAATTTGTCTAGCGTATATGTCTCTTGGTTTATATTCAGGGAGCCCGGAATTTCGGCCCAAGGAATTTTCGGGCCGGACTTTCGGACCATCATGAAATGAATATGAGGATGAGAAAGACCCAGTTTTATGATAAAAAAAATTTCATTTGAGGCCGAAAGTCCGGCCCGAAAATTCCTTGGGCCGAAATTCATGTAATCCCAAATAAATAAGGACATTGAACTATAGATAATGTAATGCAAAAATATGCACCATCGATGTAAACAAAAGTAGGTTCAGATAATTCAAAATTAAAAGGGATTATAGACTTAATTGAAAACTAATATCAGATGTTTTATTACCTTACGTGATTTAGTAGATTTGAATGATTATAAAATATTGAAAGTCATCTTAAGGCACTAATCTACTTAATATTTTATCGTTGTAACATTGTTGGAGCGATAAGTTAAAATTCTACATTCTTTATATAAAACTAGATATATTGCACTCAACTAATAAAACAACTGACTTTGACTACAAGAATTGAGTTCAATAGTGCATATTTGATATTATCAGAAATAAACTTGGAATTTAAATTTAACTATCATATAGAATTCATAACATCGGAACATGTCTATTTTAATATTTAACGAAACTATCCTTAATTACCACGTTCAATTTGTCAACAAACTGAATCAAAATCGTTATTTACTCGATCAATATAATTCACGAATTTTTCTTTTCTTTTCATCAAATGAACATGTCAAATAGATACGCATGCAAATTTTTAAATGTTTATGTATACATACTTTGCCATTTTATATTTAATCAGAAAAAAGACGACTGAACCAACTTCGATTGAGAAAAAAGAAAAAAGTTATATTCATCGAAAAAAATTTGAAGGAAAGAAAACATTCGTTTTAACATGCGTATGAAATGTATAAATATTTACAGAAAAAGAAGTACCATATTTGATAATTAACACCACAGAAAACTACGTATATGAATCTACTGAAGGAGATTTCACAAAAACGGATCATGTATTTTTTCTATCAACTTGATATTTGTTTCGTATTAACATTCAAACAAAAGAAAGAAAGAAAATCAAATGTCCTTCGGTGTTGCATACATTCCAGAATCATAATCTGTTTGTAAGTGAACAGGTCGTTCATTGTTTGGATTAATAACATCATAAATAACTTCTTGTGGTTGTTCTTGTTCTGACTCTTCAACTGTATGTTGTTCTGTTGATTGATTTAAATCAATATATTCATAAAGAAGTGTATCGTTATCAAGATTTTCACTGAACTTAACTTGAGCAAGTGGTTCTCGTGAGTAAATATTTGAATTTTTTGTTTTTTCATTATTAATTTGTTCTTTTGAATTAAATTTATTATCTGAACGTCGATATGATGAATATGGTGATGGACATGTTTTAAGATTTTCAATAAAAATTTGTTTTTCTTGATTTTCACGTTTTTCATTTATATTTACATGTTTCGCTTTCGGTGTTTGAACAAATACTTCATCATAATGATTTGTTTTTGAAAATTTTTCATCATTACTCATTAATGATACATCAAGTTTCGATTGTACAGTATTATTTAATATTGTTTCATCATTATTACCTGTTGTATTAAGTGATACATTTTTTGGTTTACTTGGAAAAAATGAATTGAACATTTCAGTTAAATAACGAACACGGCGATCATTACGTCTGAAGTAGAAATAAAATAATTATAGTAATAAATAATAATAATAATAATAACAAAAAGAAAATTTACCGTTTATAAAGTATAAATGCACAGAAACAAACAAAAAGAATGCCAGCTAACAGAACAACAAGTAATGTTAAACCAACATTATCTAAATTTCGAAAAAAAAATCAAACTGTTTTTCTTCTAATTTTTTTTATGGAGAAACCTACTGTGACGTCGTTCATTTGATATAAGGGCAGAAGTTTTCGATCGCATTAAATCCATTGATTTATCATTATTTGAAAGCGTCGATATTATAGCTGGATCAATCCTTGACGAATTTTCTGTTGTTGATATGATTGTACTTGTAGTTGAGGGTCGAGAAGCACGAATTGGTATAGCTAGATGAATGAAAACAATTATTTAAATATGAAGAAAGCGTTCTTGTTTTTTCTTTTGGTTTACCAATAAAATAAAGTAAAAAACCAGAGTATGATCGTTTCGTATTAGCAAAGTCCGATTTGAACATTAACGATGCTTCAATGATATCATCGAAGAGAAGTGTGTATGCAGGTAATGTACCACTCATTTTTTCTCCACTATTATTAATTTTAAGCCAATCATTACTACGCTTAATACCAAAAAATCGAAGTACACTTAAACCTTCAACATCAAAATTAAGAACATATATTTTTAATCTAGATAAAAAAAAACAATAGAAATTTTCTATTTTAACGAAAAGTACGAAAGAGTTACCGATGACCAACATCTGGTGATGGTACTGCTTTTGAACATTCGAGATTATTCGGATAACCATTTGGATAGTTTGGTGTATGAATAAAACCTTCGGCAACACCATGAAGTGATTGTAATGAACAGATGTCAATGCGGGGTAATTTACTCGAATAAAAATCTAAAATAATTTATTTTCATTTAGGAAAATAGTAACTGGTCAATATTTATATTTTACCAGGTATGCATGAATAATCGACATTAATACTTTGACCGGTAAATTCACAGTTAGCTTGTTTTCCAACAAGAAATGATGGTCTCTGTCCAAGAGTATTGTCTATTGTGCAAATTTCTTGTCCATTGCATAAAGTACTTGTTCGTTCTCGATAATAACCAATACAACGAGATGGTGCATAATTTGTACCACCAGTTTTCTCTTCTTCTAAACTGGGACACTCAGACGAATATGTTACTTCTAATATAAGTAATTTTCTTCCCTTCGGACATGCTAATGTAACTGATGTTTCACATGTATATCCTGATTGAAATGAGTCTAAAATAGAATGTCTTATTGCTATATTTTAATTTGTAAATAAATTTTCGAACTTACATGAATATTGTAATAAAGCCAATGTAATTAAAATAAAAAAGTACTTAGAAATCATTGTATCTGAAAACTAAATGCCCAAACTTATTATTTTATAAGTAAAAAACAAAGAATAGCATGTTCGATATAAATACGAAAAAAATATCATGGAATGAATAGCATTTTTACATCGAACAGTCTCGTCGTATATGTTATTTTTATTGATAAATGAGCATTTTCCTTTTTATGCCTTATCAGAAATAATTACAGTCATGAAAGAGAGAAAAAAAACAAGAACGCAATTGATCATTTAATACTCATGCGTCTATCGCTATTGCTTGTATTCTGTGTACGTTGTTTCGCAAAAAATATAACGAAGAGAAAATGAATAGACGAATACAAACTACATACTACGTTAAGAAGTTTTAGACATAAATAAAAAATGCGAAAAAAAGCGAGAAAGAATGAATGTGTGTAATCCTGGTGGTATTTATTGAATCACGGACCGAAGGAGGAAGCACAAAGAAAATAGATGAAGAGAGAAAACATGTGCTTGTCTGAGTAATCAGTTCTCTTTAGAGATGTTATGGAATAGATAGAACGTGTATTTTTTATTATCTTAAATAGATGTATACATACTTCAATGAGAAAAATTCAATGGATGACCATGCATCTGTATCGAGTATTTACATCAATAAAAGTTCTAATCTGTTGTTGTTGTTTACACAACTATACGTCTATGTCGATCACTCCTCGTTTATCATCGCAACAACAACAAAAAGAAATCTTCTTATTTTAGTTAACTGTGAATGAACATGTTCTATTTTTTCTTATCTACCATTGTCAATGTCGGCTCGTTTATTTATTTTTTTGTTGTATTGCTCTGTTGATAACAAATGAGTAGAATAATGAAATGTGGAAGAGGTCTAAAAATTCGAAAGTTCAGATGCTTCGAATACGTTCACGCCACGGTCAACCTCATCGAGAAGAAACGAGAAAAACGTCAGAAAAAAATGTGTACAGAACGAACCGATCAATAAGAACAGAACGAAAGAAAAAGTAAGCAAGTAGATTGAATGAAGGAGAAATGTTCAATAGAGGTTTTCTCTTCTATTCCTGTTGGTAGGCAAGTGATGTCTCTATCAACATAATAATAGAGCAGAGCAAATATGTATGTATATGAGTATTTATTGTCTATGGACGAACAAGTTTTTAAAGAACTCTAGTATGTCCTTGTATCGCACAGAAATATATCATTTGTACAATAATTAGCCTATATTTGTAGTGATTGAAACTAGATGTCGTAGTATGTTGTACAGAATGGAGATAGATTATTCTTGAATATTCAATATGTTAAATTAGTAAACTCATTAAATTGAAATTCAATTGTCAAAGAAAATAATATTTTAATTGGATATGAAATTAGCTGACGAATTCAATTAACAACTAAAAAGATTTGAAAGACTTTACATATATTGATCAACTTGCTCTAGTCTAGTTAATTCTTTCATAAGCTGTCATTATTATTGCTGAGGTTTATTAATTCAAAAGAATATTATATTCATTAGATTTTTAATATTATAAAACAATTCTGAGTCAGATAGTACTTGTCTCATTGTTTATCGACTATTGTATCAACACAAAAAAATTGCTACAACTCTCAAAAATCTATTTATTATTAAGATAAATTCTTACTCTATATATGAACGTCAGAAAAATTACATGGTACAGAAATCAATCTATGTAACGTCCTGAAGCTCTACAAATTTGTATACATTCGACTAAAAATGATGCATAATAGTTGTAACTATTCCTTTCAATAATCGATTATCTAAGATAGTTTATGAGAGAATTATCTAGTAATTGACATCAATGTTTGCAATAAACATGTTTGTGTCGTATAATTTTTTTTTGAATGCTCGAAAATGACTTGCCACATAATTATTTTTCGTTCAACAAAAGCCTACACACCTACAAAGGTTCCAATTTTAGATCTCTGAAAAATTTCTATATTATCAATAGAAGCATTGAAATAATTTTGACACATTATGTGTTTATATATTTCCGTCGCAGCAAGATGATCAAGAAGAGAAAAAAAACGAAGAAAAAGAGACAAAGACAGAATTAGTGTTTTAAAAAACAGCAGAGCATACACGAGAAAGAGATATAGAACAGCAAACAAATAATCAAACACGGAGTGTGTGTATGAAAAAAAATGAAGAAGTAGTAGGCCGAGAAAGAACAAATTCACACACACACACACACACACACAACATCCATCCATAAGAACATGAAAACGTTATTTTTTTGTATGACCACACAAAAATACATTTCTCAAAAAAAAATGTACACATACAAGAAGGTATAAATAAGAATAGTAACAACAAAACACATTATAATATTTCTTTTTTTCCTTGCTCGTCCTCATTCATGAGTGTACATTTGCTTTGTTTTCGCTAAATTTTTTTATGTTACCATATATTCCTCTAATACTAAGGCCAAAAGAGAAAAAAAGTATCTGTACAAAGTGGAGACTATACATTCAAAAAAAAAAAGAAAGAAAAAAAGAAGAAAACAAATCAACTGTTGTGCAATGAACAATAGTGCAAAACGTCTGTAAGAACACGTCCAACATTTGAATCAATAACATGCGAAGTAGATAAATTTAATATTCGATCTTCATATCGTTTCACCATTTTAATATTATCCGAATAACTAACTATTGATAATAAACATGTTGCTGCACGTTTCAACATATCACCTGTTGTAAATAGAATTTGTTCAGCATGTTGAGTATTTGATGGTTGAGTTGTTAAACGTATAACATAATCAGGACCATAACGTACCATTAATTCATTTGTTTTCATTTCATAATCTTCTAAGAAATTCAATAATAATGATATAGCGTACGGTATGTGTGCAATAACACTTGAAGCTAATGAATCACATCGTACTAATGCATTTAATAGAACAATAGCAAATTCGCGTTGTATATGTGATTGTGGCCGTGATACATTTGCATAATAATGTGTTGATGATGTTAGTGATGGTGGATGCCAATTTGATATACCGCCATTGATATCATCAACAATTAACCAATCAGTTAAAACATGAAATAATGATACAATACGATAGAATGGTGGTGTTGCTAATATAAAATCCATATTCATTTCATGTACACTTAATTTTGTTAAAATTTCGATCGCTAAACGTTGTGCTGATAATAACGATGACTGTAATGAATCAATAGCTTCGCCCGAGTAGCATGTTGACCAATGTAAAAGACCATCGATTAATGTATACAATAAATCCGAATCAAATATATCAAGTACAAGTGTACCGGCAATATTGGCTAATGTAACAAGAGTATTTTCACGTACATTTAATACACATTCTGCCCAAAAAAATGATGGTGAACATTTTTGTTCGTCAGTCTAAAACGTAAAAATGAAGTGTTATTTATTTTTCTTTTTTTAAATAGTAAAAGAAAACTTTACTTTTAATTGATTTTGATTTACTGTTTCGTCCATAGATGATTGATTATCTGACATATGATTGTGATCAATGCCATGCCTGAGTAATAAGAGACGAGCTAATAAACCAATTAGTGTTTTGCATTTAACCAATTCAATATCATTGCCTAAGATAAAACTGAGATTACGTATAATTGATGATACACATGTACAACGTGCACATATTTGATCATATGCAATTGAATGATAGGTAAATAATGATGATACATTGTCTTGTTGATCATTTGACCTTGTACATGAATCAAAATCTTTATGATTTAATTTATTCATTGATGACGATGATGATGATGATGAAGATGAACATATACCAGAATAGAGTTCATATGTTTGATTTTCATCATATTCAAATCTTCGTTTATAACGTTCAAGAAATTCTTGATTACTATCTGAGATTTCAATTAATGAATCCGAATCATATCGACGACGTTTTGAATTATCTGATGGTGTTATTTCATTAATGACTGCTTCTCCGGCGTCGTTATTATTATTATTATTATTATTATTATCATCATCATCGCCAGATATTTTTGTACGTTTACGCGATGATATTTGAGATTTTTTCGTTGTTTCTTGTTCATACGAATTATTTAATGAATGATCTGTATGATTACCGTAGTAAAGTTCTTCATAAAAATTATCATCAACACGAAATGGATCAAAATGTGTACGTACATAACTTAAATCATCTGTATTCTGCAGATCTAATACCTAAATTATATGCAAAGAGAAAAAATGAGTTCCTTTTCCTTTTAGAATAATAGAAAGAGATTGAGGAATAAAAAGAAACATACATCGGTTGGATCGGTCTTTTCATTGCCTTGCTCATCACAAACACGATCGTAAACAACTGATTGTTCTTTATTGTATTTTCGTCTATATTTATTTAATGAATTTGATTCAACACGATAAATAGTTGACTCTTGCTGTTTATTTTCATGCTTTTTTATTGTTGTACATGTTAAATGTGATGAACCATTTAAATCTTTTAATAATGGTTGTTGATCTTCAATATTTGATGGTGAACTTTTAAATTCATCAAATAATTGTGTTAAACATTTAAGATAAATATCAACAATAGCTTGTAATAGACCAGGCATTTGTTTTAAACGAAAATATGTATGAGTTTGATCATCTGTTAACATTATATTAATTGTATCTAATGCCCATGTCGTTTCAGCAAGTAAACCACCACGTAATGACATCATTAGTTTCCATGGATCGACTGGAGCTAGAAGAAAAAATTTAGAATATTATTAAAAAGAAAACAAAGTCAACGATGTGTTTCGAATAATGATACATACTGACATCTTTGGCTGTTAACTTTTTACGTTTAACTTTTGAAGAAAGCGTTGTTGCTTCAATTGAATTCGGAGGAAAACTAGTTGTTGGCATTGATGACGGTGTTATGGTAGCATTTGTTGACGTTGCTGATGTTGTTGATGAAGTTAAAATTGAAATAGGTGTCGATGTTGGTAACATAGATGTATTTGAAAATGATGAACGAAGTTGATTCATTAATATTTTATTTCCTTTATTAACATCTTGATTATCGAGATTAGATGAATCTGTTGTTGAACTTTCAGATTTTTTATACATATAATTTGGCGGAACTTGATTTGGATATGTTTGATTAGGTGGAACTTGTTGAGATAAGTATGGATCGTGTGTTTGTGGTGGCCCACTCATCATTGGTGGACGTGATTGTTGATAGCCCAATGGTGGATATGCGCTAGAAATCAGAAAAATAAATAAACATTAATGTTTTTCACTTCAATTGGTAATACGAAATTTTCAATTATTTCTTATTTTTTTTGTTTTGTAGTTTTACCTTGGCATTGGTTGTTGAGGTTGATAATGGTACGTTTGTTGTGGCCCTGTTGCCGATGTTGGTGGTTGCTGTTGCTGCTGCTGCTGTTGTTGTTGTTGCAACGGCGGTGGTTGCGACACTTGTGTTGGCGGTGCTTGTTGATTAGGTGGAGCACACATTACATTCGATGTTGATGGTGCATTATAATCTTGTTGTGACGAAGGAACCATTTGTTGTTGTGGCTTTGAAGCGATAGATGGATATGGTCCTGGTGGTCGATGTTGTGGTGCCATTGATGATGGTGGTTGTGCAACTTGTGATTGTGGAGGTGGTGGCATCCCATAGACGTTTGATGGTGGTTTCATCATCTGCGGAGGTTGTTGTCCTGGTGGATAACCAACACGTTGATAATCCATTTCAAGATTACTATACATCATTTGTCCACTTGATGATGGATCATAGGGTGGTTGCATTTCATTGCCTGGTGTACCATATGGATGCATGGGCATTTGCATTGGTCGATATTGTTGTTGAGGATGACCCATTTGATGCGGATGGCTTTGCGCTGATAGTGGTGGAGGATAGCCTCGATAAGGATCTTGAACAGGTGGTTGCTGCGGTTGTTGTTGGGAGAAAACGGGTGGTTGAGATTGCGAATGTACTTGTGGAGAGGCTGTTTTACCATCATTTGTGCTATCATTTGTATTATTCGCTGCTGTACCACTGTTGTTAGCTCCTTTCTTTGGTGTTTTTGTACGTTTACCTTGTTGTTTTTCGATTTCACCTAATATGGGTTCAGGATTAATTCCACCACGATCATATTTACATTCGTAATGAAATAATTTTAGATTAATATATTTTTGTTTAACATTAAAAGCTGCACTTGATGAATTCGGAATGTTTAGTTTCGATGCTATATCACGCCAATGACGATTTTTAGCAACTTTTGAAAATTCTTGAAAACCATTCTGTTCACGTACGCACGTATATAAGCGATAAAGATCAATGGTTTGCTTTGATATACTTGGTAAATTACGGCAAACAATTTGATTTTCTTCCCATAGCTTTTGTAAACGTTCAACAAACAAATATCGTTCTTGTCGTTCTGATTCATCACCCATATCACGTAATTTAGTAAAAACTTCAGCTGGTGTACTATGTGCATTTGATGTTGCAGATGAAAGTTTACGTTTTTGTTGACCTTTCTCATGTGATGGTGGTGGACTATCAGGAAAACTTGAATTACTAGAATCAGCATCATCTGGAACATATGATGACATGCTTGTACCACTAGGTGATTTCGGTCCATTGGTTGATGATGATATAGATTGTGCTTGTGATGATAATGAAGTTGGAAGAGTTGGATGATGAGATTGTTGTTGTTGTTGATCAATCATCATTGCCAATGGTGGTTTATTACGATATGCGCTACTATCATCATCCATAGATTGTATAGGTGGAGGACGAAAATCATTTGTTGGTTGACCATGCATCTGTGGTGGATGATTACCATATGGATCTATTTTTTTTTCAAAAGAATACAAATTGTATTTTGTTATGATCAATATAAAATAAATTCTATTTACTCATTTGTTGTGGAGGATAGCCATAGTTTGGCTGAGGTATATTAGGATATTGTGAATCCATATAAGGATGTCCACTTGTATTCATATTATTTGTTGGATCATTCATATTACTACCACTATTATATGCAGATGACATTGATTGTGGATAACCTCCTGTTGTTGGTCCGTTTGTCAGTGTGGTAGATGAATATGATGCCGGTTGTTGCGATGCATTACTTGAATTGGAATCTGAATCACCAGTACTACTAGCTAAACCTGGTGTAACAACATCACGTTGCACTGGTGGTGGTGGAGGCCATGATGATTGTTGCTGTTGTTGTTGCTGTTGTTGTTGTTGTTGTGAATTTGGTGGTCCGTAGCCATTAGAACCACCTGGTTTATATGCGACTGGTCCATTTGAATAAGATGGATATGGAGTTGGATAACGTGGCTGTTGTGGTGGTGTTGTTGATTGTGAATTTGAGCGTTTAGGTGAAAGTTGTTGAGAACGAGACGTAGACTTTCCCGATGATGATGTTGTTGATGGTGATCCTATTCCATTTTGATATGGCGATCCAGACGGATATGGTGGCCGATAAGCATTCGTATTAGGTGCTGGTGATCGTGGATTCATCATTCCAGCACTTCCAGGTGGATACTGTGCGTATTGAGGAACATATTGAGGTGCACTACCATTATTTGATGTTCTACTATACATGTCGCCTATAAAATAAAATAAAATATGATAAAACTAGCAGTGCATGTGCTGCTCTTCGTTTTTTTTCTTCTTGCATTTAATAATCATCAATGAGATGCTCGTACAGCGCGTACAACATCAGCAGTGCAGCAAGCGAACGAAAGCAGAGGGAAAGGGAAAGAGAAAGAAAGAGAGAGAGAGCGAGAAAGAATAGAAAAGAATGAAACTTCCCTATGCAGTAGTAGTCGCCGTCGCCACTATTCTATTCTCAATATATGTGAGTGTGCAAAGCGATGGCGGTAAATGACAGGCACACACACACACACACATAACATCTCGTTGTACTGCTGATGCTTCTGCTGCTTGTTGTTTCATTCTCCGGGGCTATAGGACGAGCGCGCATTTGCTTACTTGTTCGCCCGCTCGCTCCCATGCACGAATAGAGGGAACAGGAAAATAATCAAGTAAGCAACGAGGCTGCCTGTATGTTCGCCGTCGATGAATAGATGGCAAGAAGGAAAAGTAGAACGCGCAAAAAAAAGAAAAAAAAAGAACGACTATGTTCTTTGCATTGCATTTGCTCGACGACGACAATAACGATGATGGTGGAGGCAGAAGCAGGGCAAATGAAAAGAAGACGCAAAAGAATAAAGATGAAGAAGGAGACTAGTTTTGAAAAACCGCCGTTCTTTCTTTTTTTTTATGAATTCTAATGACAAACCTTGTTGTTGTGAATAATTGGCATATGGTTGTTGTTGCTTCGATGTTGGATGAGGCGGTGGCATCATGGAGGAATTGCTATAACTGCTATTCCCTAGAACAAAAAAAATCATAACGATTTAGCTTAGAAATACAAAGACACGCGCATATAGTAAAAAGATGAAGTCTTCAAGCAATATTAGAATAAAAGGCGACAGAGGGCGAGCGCAAAAAAAGGAAAAATTGTCGAGTATACAAAAAAAAGAACAGCAGTGGCTTATGTTGAATTTGGTTCGATATAGTACACTTTTTTACACAGATGAAATACAATAATAATGATAGGCAAACAAATAATGATACTAACAATTACACTCTTTTTTTTTATAGCCCATCGCCCTAAAAAAAATTCTTTTTTGTACAACAGTCTTACCTGGTGGTGTTTGTGCTGTTGCCATCGCCATATTACCACCTTGCTGTTGTTGATCATGTGATGCTGTTGTTGAATCAGTTGCATTCTAAAACAAAAATGATCAATGAAAATTAGACATTAGCTTCTCATTCATATCAACGATGATTGAGCTAGGTTTCTTTTTCATAGTAGACTGATAGCATGTCTATACAATTATTTAATTCTTCAAATTATGGACGTCTTTACGGGCAACTACTTTCTGACAGCAATACAAAAAGTAAACTTGCCAGCCGAATGCACGTTTTGTATGTCGATCAGATGGTGATGAATGAAAATCTCTTAACGTATACACCCACTTCATCTTCATTCATTCATACAACTCAACCGTATCTCTCTTTCTTCATCTCTCTGCCTCTTTTGGCAATCTTCTCTTTCGTTTCTCACCCCGCCCCACTCTCATTTGTAAATGTCCAATTAAAGAACACTCAATGTATGTGGTCGTCAATGAAATCAGCTGTTTCATATGAAAGAGAAAAAGAGGGAAATTGGTGTCTCTTGACATGTGAACAACAACAAAAACATACCCGGTAGAAAATAAAAAAATAACATATAAGACAGACGATCATGATGAAAGAAAAAAGAAATCAAGGTTATTTGATAATGAGACATTGCATGTCTTTCAGTCTCTTGCTCTTTCTCTGTTTTTTTTTATATTTAGTTATTTAGTATTCATATGAAGTTTATATTTGACGCTAGTAATAGAAAAGGTAAGTTGTTAAATTACACTTGTCCTTTTTTCCTTTCTATTACTATGATCACGTTAGTCTCTTATGTCATTCAATACAAGAAACAACAAACCATTGTACTCATATGTCAATTTATTTATGTGGTACCTAAAAATACTACATACCAGTTCGGCATTATTATTTGTTGTTGACGATGATGGCAAACAACCATCTTTTGAAGAATATGGTGACGACTAAATTACAAAGAAAATGATGTTCAAAACCTGATTTTTTCTGGAATTTGCTCGACAACAATATTTTACAAAATATCACACGTGCAAAGGAAACAAGAAATATATATATATATATAAATACATATACAGTGGTTAGACGAAAATATATACATATATGTATATGAACACACAAAGGTGCACTACCTCAACTTGGTTTTCGCCGTAATTTCCATAATAATGTCTTCCTGCTGATACTTGCTGATGTTCATAAACACCAGTATCATGACAATATGATGAATAATAACCACTTGTACGTGATTCGTATGTGTCAAATGGCGATAACTGAATATTATTATCATTATTATATAGATTTCTCATCATAATAGTGTATATATATTTTTCTTTTTTGTTTAGAAAAATTGACAGAATAAAAAACAAAAAAACGACAACTTACAATTTGGTGATGTTGAGGATGGTGATGAGATCCTGGTGGATATTGTTGATACATAGGACGATATGGCATTTGAGCTTGTTGAGGAGTACCTTGTGGTGGTCCATTAAAATAATTACCAGTACCCATCATGGGATTCATAATCATAGCTTGTAGTCTATTAGGATTATTATTGTTTGAATATAAATTATTTGCTGCTGTGTGTGATGACATTTCACTGGCCATTATTTCTCCACCACCGCTACTGCTAACAGCTGTATTCGTACTAGTTTTTGTCGACTCGTAAGACATTTTTATTCAATTAACATTCAATAATCATTATAAACTATGAATTAAAATAGAAAAAACAAATATGGATTTAATCAAGAAATAATAAACATGAATAACTTACAAGAAATCAAATAGACAAGAGACGAAATCATGACAAAATTTAAAAAAAAGAATATTGAAAATGTCGTTTTCGCATCTGAAATAAGAAATTCTGATGTTTTTTTCCTCTCTCTCTCTTTCTTTCTTATTGAACACAAAAGACAATATAGACTATATAGAACAGAGGTCGTCAGATGACTTGTGTAGGAAGAAAGCAAAGAAAACTAATCGAAAATATTTTAGAATATTGTACACTCGATCATATTTAAAGAGGACATAACTAACAAAACAGTTTCTAAAAGAATAATACAACAACGCGCTTGGCCGCTCTCGCGAATCGGATTTAATCTTTTTGATTTTCGTAGCCATTATGGTAGAAGTCAACCTCCACCGATGACACATGATCAAATGACCCAATTATAATTCATAAAAGCAAAATATGTAGTATTTTTTTGTATTTTAAAAAGAATCGCTTAAAAAATTATGAAAATAATTTTTAAATATAAAAGTTCGTCGAAATGTTTTATCGTCATTTCAAAGTATGTATGTATATATATTTACGGATAAATTGTGATTAGTGATTAAGCAACCAATAAAAATTATCAATTCTTGTTATAATAATTAATTAAATAAATAAATCTATCGAATGTCTATGTTTAAAAGACGTAAATATTTAATTGTACTATTATCATGATGTTTTGGATTAACCACAATAGCTGATTCACCTTTTGTTGGTCTCCAAACAAGTAGTTGGGCATTGTTTGCCTGAATGTAAAAGAAAATAATCATGGATAAAAAATAAAATATATTACTGATGGTGCTTGTAAAGCACAAGATGGAATAAATTTATTTTTTTTAAGAAAAATAGGCTGTTCTGGTTCATGATTACTTATTAATTTTGCTCTAATTCCACGACATAAATTAGGTTTAACATCGATTTCAATCGTTTGTATCCAACGTATTGTACGAATTATTAACAGTTCATTATTGGTACAATTCATTGCACATAACCATACATAAAATCGTTGATGTCGATAAATATGTGTTAAGTGTGATTTTTCACCCTCACATGTTGGAATATCCCTCAAAAGAGACAAAAAAAATCTATCATTTATTTTTTTCTTATTTCTATTTACCATGGAATCCATGGTATGAATAAGTCACGCATAGTTATTGTATGTTCCGATTGTCGATAAATTGGACCTTGAATGGTCACTACTACATGTTAAATTCAAACGTAAATAGAAATATGATGAAATAGCAAGTGAAGAAAATTATACAAATGATCAATATAAAGATTGCATAACTATTAGTTGAGAATATTTTGGTTTATAATAGAAAACTATATTTTTCATGAATTAAAAATAAAAATCCAACTAGTGAATAGTATTGATTTTATTTGTTATTGTGTTTTTTTTTGCTATTCATATAAAATAGGGTATCAATGACAAACAAGTTTTTTTTTATTAAACTCGTACTTCATGTCTATGTACGAACGCTACACTCAGCTTCAGTTTCTAGATCATCAAATTTTGCTACTATCTTCATGATATGTCAGACATATTTTTGTTCTAAATAAAATTTGTTGATATATGATTTTTATGAATAATTAATATATCATTATCGAGTATCTGCAAACTTCGTATACTATTATGATAGGTAATTCTCAATTGATATTTTGACTACCTTAATATGCTTTATAATAAATTCACCAAACTAAACTTTTACTTTCCTTTTTATTTTACATGATCGTAAGTCGTGTTTTTAATTCATTGTGAGCTCCTATAACTTCTTTACTTGATCTCAGATTTTCCTTTTGAAGAAACTAGACAGCATCCATATTTTATATTCGTGACACCCAAGTTGAAGCTGGAGCAAACGATAGAAACAAACAGCATTTGTTCATCTCTTAGTAATACCTTGATTTTTTGATCCATACCATGGAAAATTTCGTCCACAACTATCATTTATCATTGATAGATCACGAACAATCAATTGGGGAAACTTTTCATTTTGTTGAATAAACAGACAAATATTTAGCACGATGCTTGTTACATTCATTTTTTCTTATTTACCTCCCAAGATGAACTATGCAGATAAAAATATCAACATTTTTTACTAGTTAAAGTAAAGAGCAACTTACTTACTAGCCAAGATCACCATATTGATTTTGAAATAACATAAAATCACCTTTTTCAAAAATAGGAAAAAGATTAGCAGAAATATATACATGTTCGATACGAACATGCTTGGACAAATCCGACTTTCCAACATTCGTTCGAATGAATTGGTGGAAAACGAAAAGTAACGGTTGCTCTGCAGCCAGAAAAATACATAAATGATCTAATTTATGATTGATTTATTTTTACATGAACGATGGTGATTTGTATTTGAGAACACGTAATGATGTTTCATCAATTTCTGTTGGTCGTCTCTCAATAACTGCTTCGAAATTTACTATTTCAATATGTGGATCACGCTTTATATCATAAAATCGCTGTTTTGTTTCATTTAAATTTATATCGAATGTTTCATTTACAGACGATGTTAATGAGCTACATAGAGAATTCAATAAAAACAATCTTAAATAGAAATCTATTAGCAAATACAATACGTATGATATTCGATAGCATCATTATTACAAGCCATACAATTGTTGTAATTCTTAAATTCGTATAAATCTGATTGATATATGTTATAATATAAAAATTCTATAGCCGAAGATTGGTTACCAATTATGAAAGTGATATTGTTTTCAGTCAAAGATAAGTATTATTCATACTATTCAGGATCAAAATTTTGAATTGATTCGATTAATATAATTTCATGAAACGTGAGTTTTGTTGAATTAAAATTGTTGACATTAACTTGATGATGAAAACCGGATGAAATAATATACCTGTGCTCAGTGTTTTATGAAGCAAAAAAAATATCAAAGAAGAAAAGTTGGAAAAAATTAAATTAAACTATATCAAAAGATAAATGGAGGGAAATAAGAATTTATTATTTTTATATACCATGATTTGTATCAAGGATATTTTGAAAGTGTTACACAGCTTTTTCTGGCTAAAGTCAATGGCAGTCCCTATCTTCTATTTTTCTTCAACTGTTATCATCTTACTGCAGATATGTTGTTTCAAATTTTGTCTATTCGACGTAGCACCTTAGTTTAGTCAAAAATGATAGTAATGACAAGTGCTTTAACAAAAGGTTCATACGATTTTTTACGACTGATTTTGAGTGGCAGGAGAAATCTTTTAGATTAAAAACACAATAATTAAGTAAATTTCGAATCTAAGCTATCTTAAAAATCGAATATCAATTATGAATTTTCCTGTTTGATTTTCTGTTCCATATTAGTTGTATAGTTGATTATCTCTTGCATTTGTTTTCATGATTACGTATTTTTGTGATTATGCTGACAGTACTAGGAAGAAGAAAAAATGAACTTTCCCGTGACTACAAGTTTTTCTACGAAGAAATATTCATGATGATTATTTTCCTGTTGTAATTTGTTTGTTTCAGAACGAATTCGTGATTATACTATCTATCTTTGAGAGACCGGAATTTCGGCCCAAGGAATTTTCGGGCCGGTCCGAAAGTCCGAAAGGAAATTCGGCCCGGCCCGAAAATTCTCCGGACTTTCGGACCAATTTTATACAAATTCATTAAACTCGGAGAAAAAACGAATTTTTTTGAGAATTGGTTTCTAGATTCTTTTAGTACCGAGCGAAGCGTCGTAGTACTGAGCGAAGCGACGTAGTGCCGAGCGAAGCATCGTAGTGCCGAGCGAAGCGTCGTAGTGCCGAGCGAAGCGTCGTAGTGCCGAGCGAAGCGTCGTAGTGCCGAGCGAAGCGTCGTAGTGCCGAGCGAAGCGTCGTAGTGCCGAGCGAAGCGTCGTAGTGCCGAGCGAAGTAATATAGTGTTAAAAACAGCACTTCTATTATTATAGAACATAGTATGGCGTTTTAAGATACATATCGTTTATCCACAACAAGCACGAACGAATCTAGTGTAATCTCAATATTGGCTTAAGGATGCACATTTTTTAGTTTTATTTTAGATGTAGAATTCACTATTGCTGGTATATTTTTCGAAATTTGTTGAGATGTAAATTAGGTATAGATTCGGTTTTTTTATTTCAACTCGTTTTTCTTCTATGGAATGAAAAACGCCGCTTCGCTCAGCACTACGACGCTTCGCTCGGCACTACGTCGCTTCGCTCAGTACTACGACGCTTCGCTCGGTACTAAAAGAATCTAGAAACCAATTCTCAAAAAAATTCGTTTTTTCTCCGAGTTTAATGAATTTGTATAAAATTGGTCCGAAAGTCCGGAGAATTTTCGGGCCGGGCCGAATTTCCTTTCGGACTTTCGGACCGGCCCGAAAAATCTCCGGAATTTCGGACCGGGCCGAAAGTCCGGCCCGAAAATTCCGTGGGCCGAAATTCATGTAACCCCTATCTTTAGGAGAATAAATGAAGTGAAAAACGAAAGCTAAAATGATACATTCATTTAGATTTATACTGTTCAATCTATTTAGAAATTAGAAACATGGATCAGTTTGATTAGTTTTACAAGTATTGTTGAGCAGACAGCTCTAGTCTATACATGATAACTAAAAATAAAAATAATAAGGATGAAGACGTCTGTCAAATAGATTCGAATTATTTTTATATTTTTACATTTATTCAAATTTCAGGATACAATTTAATCATCGAAAATATTTTATTATTCAGAAAATATCTTCAATACGAATACCCATTTTAATAGTGTCAAACAGTGAAATTGAGTGCAAATTTAAATGTAAGAACGAAGTTATTGCACGAGTCTTCTTAATCAAAGAAATAGTGAGATAGTTTTAGACATGTACTGAAATATTCAGAAAGTTTTGTGTTTCTAATAACAAAAGGAACGAAAAACAGTCGATAACCATTTTTTGTTTAAATATGAAATAATATGTCGATTTGTTTCCTTTTGATCGCTATCATTGTATTTGTATGACGCCATGAAAACGAAGTCTATTTTGCTTGTACAAGTTTTCTAAAGACTTTTTTCAATATTGTTGTTGATTTCAATGCATATCTATTTCTTTTTTTAATCACTTGCGATGCATTTTGTTGTTGACACTTTTCTTTTGTAAACAACCTACAAGCAAACTCATCTATGATTTTCAATGGAAAAATAATTACATTATCAGAATACATCCTACAGATAAATAGAAGACAACGATACTACATCCAAATGTACTTGAATGACATTCGCTAGACATCGTTCAGTGGAAATAAAGTTCACAATATGAGAAATAGGGCGACTTCTTTTTATCATTGAGTACGTATCTTTTTCAATTGATTTTACTCGGTTTTCTTCGAAATAAGAATTGAAAACAATCGCCACTAATTTTATTTAATTATCCTGATAGCAGATTGTTGTTAGCCACAAGTATGTCAAGGCTATTAAAAATAAATAAATATTGTATTGAAACTTAATCTCTAATCGATTTTACAATGCAAGGATCACAGCTAGCATTCTGTCGTGCAAAAACATTTGCTGGCAGGCATCAACATGTTTCCCAACAATTCTAATTACACAGATAGTAGCAGCGAGACAGTCGCAATAATCCATTTCATTTTTAAACATCGATTTATCGTACATAAAGCAGACTTTAGTTTTCTTAGAGAATTCTTACTGTTTAAGACTGTAAAATCATTGACACAATAAAGCGACGAAAAAGAAGTTTTTTTAATAAAAAGATGTCATGAGTCGATTGTTATCTTAAGATTATGCATACATATCTATATATATAGCAAAATATTTGCTAAAAGCATAACATATTTTAGTTTTATTAGCTTTATATTTCCGAGGTGTCCTTTTAATATGAACATTTTTCAATCAAATACAAGTTGATTTCCAAGACATACGAACAATTATCTATTTCATACTCAATCATACAAGCATTTTAATTTGTTTCATCAGAAAAAAAGATTATCCCTAGTATATTTCTCAAGACCATCATTTTGCTAGAAATAAAATCAACGATCAGTATCCCTTCTCAAGTAATTGATGTATCAAGAACTAAATATTACAAAAGTAATTTTTTTAAAACACAATCAATTTGTTACTTTGACAACATCAATTTGAACTAAATATAGAAATAAGAAAAATATCGAAGATAATTCTTTTTAATATTCATCTAACAATCGATTAGAAAAAATTTCATTTACATTTTAAAAATATATCTAAATGTTAACAGAGTAATTGAACAAGTTCAATTCATGTTGACTTTAGCGTTCAGAAAATATCTGTAAAAATCGTTCCATCAATTCAATAAATTCGTTCTAGCTTTTTTTAAAATTTATTCTGCGACATTTTATTTCAAAAAAAAAAAACTACTCATTAAGACTTAGTTTTTTTCTAATTATTTTCTTGTCAAGAAAAAAGTAAATCATGTTGTGTTTCATCGTGTATGAGCGATAGTTTCATGAAGAGAAAGAAGAAAAAAAGCTCATTAAACAATGTCACAAAGAATCCAATCATTGTGAGAAAAAAAAGAAGTTTCTATCATAGACAGACAACGAATGCTGATATGTGGCATGAGCTTGAATTGAAAAATGTCATGCTGCGTAAGCATTACTCTTGATTCACTTTCATATTTATTCACTTAGTCGTGACCAACATTCTCTTCTAAACACATGACCGATCGTCGATTATCTCATTTGAATGCAGCTTTTGTCGAACTTCGTTCACACATACCAAGATTTCCATACGAAAAACATCTCTCAAAAATAGACACACTTCGTTTGGCTCTCGCTTATATTGAATTTCTCGACGATCTTGCTCATACGAATTTTATGGCACACGAATACATCGCACGGTCTCCTAAATGGTCTCATTCGGAATTGGCTCTACGTCTACGATGGCTCGATTGGAACTATTTTCTGCCGCACTAGATTGTATTGTTTTTTTTTCTGTAAAAAAATACTTTGTAAATGATGTGAAAAATAAAGAAAAAAACATCACATGAGGGTGTGCGAAAACAACCTGATGTTCCCTTGTGAAACTCAAGATAGATAACAATAATATGTATATAAGTAATTGAAAGTATATATATACATTCTATTCTACCCTGACTTTATCCAAGCACTTATAAAGAATGCGTCTCTTGACTGGATTGACTTTTGTGCTCGCAAGTATTACTTTTGTCCAATGTCAACTTATTGTTCCACAACTGAACAGTTTAAATTTATTGAACTCTTTACGCCCACAAATACAGGTACATTGACTAAAGCTGCGAAATAGTGCTGAAGCTTATCTATTATTCTCGTTAACTAGAACTTTCTTGATAAACTCGAAGACATTCTTCCACAATTTCTTGGCACAATCTCATCAGTGGAATTGCAAACTCTCAAAGACAAGCTCATTCAAGTTGTTTTAGGTCAACTCGGAGGAAATCTTAATTTCAATACACTTAAAGATAAATTACGACCTGTACTCCAAGAATTCCTTAACACAAAACCACAAATTCGTTTGGATTTCGATGCCCTTCTCAATCATGTTTCTAGCGCAGCACTTACTGAGTTACCAGCTATAATCCTTAACTTACTTGGTGGTAAACGTGAAGTCACTGAGACTCGTTTTAGTTTGGATGATGTTCTTGCACTTGCCGATAAACTTCCATTGAGTACATATCTTTCACAAATCCAACAATTCTTGAGTAGCGATCAGTTACAACAATTACAAAATCAATTTTTATCCACCGTATTAGCTGCTGTGGGTAACGAATGGGATATTGCTCCCCTCGCTCAAGCTCTTCAAGAACTTTTTACTCAATTCGTACCAGAAACTGCTCAAATGCGTGTCGAGTAAGAAAATCAAATTTTCAATGAATAGAAGTATGTTATTTTATCTCATATTTTAGTTGGGGTCACCTTGCTCAACAAGCCATCAATGGTCTTGCTTCTGCAGCCCCGAGTATTATTGCTACTGCTTTAGGTCTTATCGGTAAACGAGAAGTTCGTGTCAATTATCAAGAATTGTTAAGTCAATTATCAATTGACAAATTGGCTCAAATTTTCGAAGTCATTAATAGTGTTGATAAAAGCAAAGTTTTTGCTCAACTCAGAAAACTTCTTCAAAACTTCTTCCAAAGTTATCTCGGCCGTGTGAATTTCGATGAAATGGCTGCCTCATTAATGAATCAATTAAACGGTCTTTTGCCTGCTCTCAGTCAATCGCTTTTCTCTATGATAGGTTAAACAGAGTCAAATGTTTAATTTAAAATAATAAATGTCAGCAGTGAAAATTTTAATGATTTGTATCGTGTCCAACTTGTTATAGTCAAGGTTATATATTCTAGGTAGGTTTCACTCGGTAGAAAGAAAGGGTACCCGATAATGTCATGCATTCATAACTGAATATAATTTTCTGTTTGCGTTCCTTTTGTCAATTCGATATCTACAAATTCGTTCGTTGCACATGCAATGATGTTCAAGTTTTGTGTTGTTATGTAGATAGTGTAATTGATTGCAATGGTACGGTGATACACATCGTAATCTAACACACAGAGCATATTTGTAATGTTGTTGATGATGATGATTATGAAAATCTCGGTGTAGAATACTGTCTAATTGGTTATCGATATGTGATAGCCTATGTGGATGGTGATGTTGGTGCAAAACTTGATGATGGTTTTCACTCGAAATTATGGACATTTGATTGAACAAAAGTAAGCAACAGTAGATTATGATTAATGTAAATCTGCTAATGAGTGACATTTAATTTTATTTATTGGTGAAAATGGAGGGAAAATGTTTTTTATTCTTCTGATGAACAGTTGACAAATCAGTAATATTGACATGAAGGGTATCCTATTACCGTTGAAGTGTTGTAATGAAAATCTGTTATAATGTTTAGGTTGTTAGGTCAGATTCTGATAAAATTTTATTTTTTCAATATTTCATGTCATTAATTGCAAATTTTCTCAATCTAGAATATCGTTGGAACACAGTATTGGGCCAAAAATGGAGAACAAGATATTGAACAAGACAAAGAAAACAAGCAAGCGTCTCTTATACATAGTAGTCAAATATCACGGTAATTGTTATAAGAGTAAGAACTCTCATGGTCTTCTTGAATATTTTAGAATCAGTTTTGATTATAAATAGTTATTGTTTAATCAGCGGCATTTCTTTATTGACTATAAATAATCGAGTTTAACATGTAGAGGAAGATATTTAGAAAACAAATAGAACTATATATAAAAAAGTTTAAAAACGAAAGCCTTAAGTATGTTGTCAGTATCAAAAATAAGTCAGTCTTTTAAGAAAAACTGTTATCGAAAAAACTATCGTAAATCAATAAAAAAACAACTGTTCACTGCATTTGTACACCACTATCATTTAAATCCGATGAATACGGCGACAAATGATCATCGGTATCTGTATTCATATTAGTACTGAACGTTAATTGCTTGTTTTTGGACTTCGTCTTATTCGAAGATAATTTTTCGACATTGTTTTGACGTGATTGAATTCGATAACTGCGACGACGTTTGCTGGTATTAAGTAACACCTTCAATGAAATTACATATATATATTAAAATTAGAAAAATATTGTCTAATAATAAGCTGACCTGGTGAATGAATGGTTGAACGCCACCTTCTGGAATGGTTACATCAGAACACAATGTATTCTAATAAGCAATAGCAAAAGCAAAAGTCATAAAAAAATGTAGAAAAATAAAACGTACAAGTTCATCATCATTCTTGATCACTAAAGCAATATCTCTAGGAGTAATACGTTTACGTTTAGATTTGTGTGTAATATCACCAGCTAGTTCAACTACTTCAGCCACCTATTCAAATACATTACAATAATTTTAAATAATAAAAATGGATTATAACTTACTAAATATTCTAGTACACCCGCTAAGTAAACCGGTGCTGTTGAACCAAGACGTTCTGCATATCGACCTTTGCGTAAGCGATTTTCAACACGACTGACAGAAAATATCAAATTCTATTGATACAGTTTATGTACTAGTTATTTACCAAAAGTATAAAATCTAACTTACAGCTTTTTTCGAACGAGATACGTGTTCATTCTTTTTTTGACGATTTTCACTACTATTTGTTGTTTGATTCGATTGTTGTTGGCTAGTAGTAGTAGTATCCATTCCTTGGCCCGAATCGGTTGATAAACGCAGAGTTTCATTAACACTTGACGATGTATAGAGAGAAGAGTCTGTAGTTGTAAAATCGTTTGACATTATGGGTTATATCAAATTTCAAGTCGAACAAAATATGAGATGGTAGTTGAATACGAATACGATGAACTCGAAGTATTTATATGACGACGAAGACTTTTGTTCGACCGTTAAAATCGTTCTTTTTTCTTTCTTCGATTCGTCCATGCGGTCATTTAAGTAGAGAATTCAAGACTAGTCGTTGTTGATTTGTCGATGATTTGAATTTTTTGTTAAGAAAAATTCTAACATGAAACTATCCTCAATAACACACGTGCTTAACATAGTGTAGCTATATGTACTGATGGGAGATTTCATAGATTCTGAATATCGACGAAAGCGAACATATATATCGATAACGATTTGTTGCTCACTGAATGAACCTATACAAGGTGTCTTGATATTTCAATCGAGATGAAATTGCATGACCTTTTCTCGTATGAGAATAGTAGTAGTTATCAAGAAGAGAGTATTATATTATTCAAATTTCTGAAACCAATGAATCAATCAGACTTTTTAAAATCAACTTATTCAAGTCTTAAAACGTTACGAACAAAGCAAAAATATTACGTATTATAAAAGTTTTCTCATGGAAGAAACAATGTTCATATCGCGATTTTATTTTTAAGCGTTTAGTTGGTGTAGAATCTCACTGTACAATAATGAAAGCTATGGAATGAAAAAAAAAAGAACCATGGGAAGATGATAATTTCCAAATGTTAAATAGTTACAATAGAGCATGAACAAAGGAGAAAGAAAACCGATCTTGGAATGATTACGAAAGAGTGATTAATGAAATTTCTATAAGACTCTGTAAATTTATGTTAGTTTTAGATAACAAACGATTGACAGTCAGCTAGCATTTTTCTCTACTCAGCTCATATTGTTTGAATAAGTCAAATAATACGTTGTTCTTTTTCCTAACAAAGAATCGCATTGATTGAACTCGAAAAATACAGCATGATATTATTTTTGTTTATGTTACTATGCTATCTAAAATGTCAGGATCACTACTCGAACTTTTCAACAACACTTTCATGTAGAAATCATTTGCTTTCTACAAACAAATGAATTTTTGTGTGTGACGTTTCAAGTGTTCGCATAAACACACGAGTCAACATTCTATTTGAAACAATAGAATTATTCTAAGAAACAATCGAATAATGTGAGAATGTAGCTGTAGCGATAGATTGCGCATTTCGAGAGATCGTTAATATATTTTTATTGTTGGCATATATCGGTATAAAGTTTTCAAATCAATCTTATCGTCGAAAAAAGTGACTTATTTCATGATTAAAAATTGTCAAATTATAAGATGAATATTAAATGAAATTTCTTTTCGTCGAAGTTCTCATTTAATTAAAATGTCAGCACTGTAAAAATGCATTGATGATCTATCGATGTAATCTGATGATTGAAAGTCATGAAATGAAATCTTTTTTACATTTAGACTACTCTTCGGAAGGATTGGTGAAAGTTAAGCACAGGAAAAGTCAGCACGGATAGATCAGCAAGGAATAATCAGCACGTAGAAGTTCAGCACAAGATCAATTCAGCACAGGAAGAATAAGCACATTTATTCATCAGCACCACAATTAAATCCTAATAAATTTTAATCATAGGATTTTTTCAAATAATAAGAAAAATAAGAATAATTCGAAATTGAAAACGAAAAATTATTTCGGCTTCAATTTGTAGTTGCTTATCTAGTTCTTTTATAATAAAATAAATAATTGATTTCTACTAGAGCTTTCGACTCAATACAGTGGAGTCATTTTCAATATAAAAATAGTTGATTTCATCTTGTTGAATGTGTTGTTGAGTTCATCAACTACAAATTGAAGTCGAAATAATTTTTCGTTTTCAATTTCGAATTATTCTTATTTTTCTTATTATTTGAAAAAATCCTATGATTAAAATTTATTAGTATTTAATTTTGGTGCTGATGAATAAATGTGCTTATTCTTCCTGTGCTGAATTGATCTTGTGCTGAACTTCTACGTGCTGATTATTCCTTGCTGATCTATCCGTGCTGACTTTTCCTGTGCTTAAATTCCCGGTTCCCTCTTCGAAACTATTTAAATCAAGTTTGATGAACGATAGCATTCTGTATGTAATACGTCTACAGGGACTTCTTTCTATTATTATCACATATATCAAATTAGTAATAATATTGATATTGATTCTTTCATACGAATAAATTGAAGGGTTGATATACACTTATGAAACAATAAGTAAATTACCTTTTATGAAACGACGGCGATACAAGTTACTTATCTATTGTTTTTTATTTGAGTTACATATTCTACTAATATAGGCAAAGTAAGAATAAGTAAATCAATTGTACTGCAATTTAAGATAGATTAAATTGTGTAATTTCGATAGTAATCAGTGTGCGGCAATTAACATAAGAACATGAAAAAGATAATGTTATATTTGAATACAATACTGCTTTTGTATCTTCGCGATTTCATCTTCATTTATGCACCTGTGCTAGTTTCACAAAAAACAATTTTGCCATCGATAACAATAGAATACTCTCAAATTTAATAATATCTGCTTTTTTTTCTTATTGTGGCAACAAAACAATGATAATGATATTCTGTTCGTCTATATACATATTTCTATTAACATCAATTCGAATAAACTTAATCGAAGGATTGACTCAGAATTATCAAAAAAATCGATACATCGACTACAGTCAAATGATTCACACGGACTTGCTTGATAGAAAATTGTACTGATCATACATTATGTGAATGTATACGTGACTTTGTTGTTCGATATAATGTCACTATTGAACATGAAGATGATGATGACGATGAACTTAGTAGTATTCATTTTAGTGTGATTCCAAAAAAAAACCGATTAATATTAAGCAATCGATTCTTGTAAGTTTAATAATTAGTGGTTTGAGAAAAAATTAATTTTCTCTTTTTTGAATAGATTGGTGAAATCTATTCAGGTTTTTATCATAAACGTGATATAACACAACTGCCTTTTGGATAAAACCTGATCGGCAGACATATTTTATTTTATTATCTTTTAGTCTTACATTAGTTTTGGCTCTTATTGTTGTTCCAGTAGCTTATCTTATTTTTACTATGAAATTTACAAATCCAGATACAAAACAAAAAAGAAGAATAAGATAAATTCAATTGTTTTCTTTCTTTCTAATGTAATTGACCATCAAATTTTTTCTCCATGTCCATTTTTATTCGCTCAGTCTTTGAGTCAACAGCAGATTTTATTTTTGATCCAACATGCTTGAAAACACCAGAATCCTGCCGTTCTAAACGTAGCTGAGTACGTATATCATTTAAAACTAAATCCGAATTACGTTCAATCATAAAACCACCCATAAAAAATTCATTTAATATATGATTGGCTTTATCTGAATGAAATATTAAATCAAGTTCGCAAACATTTTCAAAATATTGATCTAGACATTGTACAAATGTATGAATTAATTCAAAAATATCATATTCGGACTCAGTTGAATCAATAACAAATACGAAATAAAGTGTTGCATAATGACGATATACCAATTTGTAATCATTGTGTTCAACAAAGTTGCATGCGTTCATATCACGTTTTGATATTATTTGATAAGATTCACGGAGTAATTTTTGTTGTAATTCCGTTGAACATGAGTCAAAAAATCTTATAAGACGTACTTGACCACGAGTATTAAATACAAGTACAGCTTTGATCATTTTGTGAGTATATTTTTCGTGCAGTTTTACTATTTGCCGTTTGTTTGTCACACATAAAGACAAAGATTGCAAAAGAGAAGAAATATGAAAGATAAGTACGCACGTTTAATAGCAAATATGATGTTGATATGAAGGCTTCACAAGTAAGAATAAAATATTAAAAGTGGTTTCTTATCTTTGGCTTTAATTAATATTGCAAATATCTTTCTCAGGTGGTACTTCAGCCAACAATGGAAAGAAAAACAGTTTGTTTTTGTCAAGATACATTACTGAAAAACGTTATGAAAAGACTGTAGTCCTTGATAAAACAAATGGTCTTTTTGAATTTTGATAAGCTATGCATCGACAAGCTAGTATTGTGACTGTTCTTCTGTTCTTTGGATTCTCTTGAAGAACGCCGTCAGTAAAAATGTCGAATAGAAATTTCCTACTTAGAGATTTTACAATATCAATACATAATTGGGGTATTGATAACAGGCTGATGATAAGGAAACATACTTCGGCACGTCTGGAAAACATAAAAATTTTCAAAAATGCTCTGAATCAGTTCGATTTCTTAATCCCGAAAAAACCTTCGATCAAACTATATAAGAAATCACTAGCTTCTCAAAATACCTTATATTAACTGAAACATTTTCGAAATCTCAATCTTGAGTTCTTTTCAACTAGGGCAAGGTATTTTGAAAAACTAGTAATCTCTAATAAATTTTGATCGGAAGTTTTCGGGGTTAAGAAATTGAACTCGTTCACTAGATTTTCAAAATTGTTATATTTTCTGCAAAATACCTAGGTATCATTTTTCTCCGTCGCCCTGCTATCAAGACCAACATCTACCAATAAGAAATGGTATTGTTAGTATTACTATTGTCACATAACTATTTCTAATTTTGAAGATTACGTAAATCAGACGTCGAAAGAAATGTGCCTTGAGCGATTTTTAACTTCCCAGGAGAATCGTTCCGACAATCGGATCCGATCCAGTGTACTGCATAATTGCGAGTATTTTTCGTGATTGTGACCAGAAGCATAATATCAATTTTGGTTATATTTTTACAATTCTTGGATGAAAATTTTCAAAGCAGGGGGCGTATAGTGAGAAATTTCAAAAGCAGAAGGGGTCGCGCCTCATGCCCTCTATATTTACGCCTTTCTACATACAAAAATAAATTCTTAATCAAGCTTATAAGTAGAATATCTTTTCTTTTGCTAGTTTCATACATCTGTCGATATTTTTATTGTTTAATATTTTGACTTTCTACCAGAGTTCAAGTTCACCGTTCTTTGTTCTAACCTGTGTGGGAACAAAGACTTGCACAATAACTCAAATCAATTGCTATCCATTTAGATGTCATGAGACACTAAATAAAACAATCGTCGAGAAACAGAATTTCATGCACACATGATTCTTGTCTGGAGTTCAGTTAATATTTCGCAAATAAAATTTGTTTTGCTGTACAAGTTTAAAACTAAAATTAAATAGGACGTTAATTATTGTATTTGAAAATTCTAAGTTTCTCTTTCTTTCACCCTTTCCACAAATCTCTATGGCCAACCTGAGATTTTATCTACGTAGTTGTTCTTATAGCTAATTCTCTACAAATGTTTTGGTTCATGCTTATGCATTTTTAGCTGTCGAAGAAGTGAATGATTTAGCTGAAGATATAAGAAACAGCGTATCGTACATCAGCAAACCGTTTGGAAAATATTGCAGCAAAAGCACAACTTGAAAGTAATGAGTAACAATTGGAAGAAGAATTCTATCAAAATATAGACTGTACACAACAAGAAACAAATGAAAAATTCAGCAATATTGAAAAAAATCTAAATACAAACGATCCAAACTACAATGATCTGTGGGTAATCTACCAATCATTTCAAGAAAGCATGAAATATAATGTAGATCCAATAGTGCCGTCTTGTTAATAAAAGCTTTACAACGTGCTGCCTATGTGGATGAAACGGTATGCAAAGACAACTCGATGGATGGCCGGTAACATCACAAATGATTTTAAATATCTGTTGAATTCGATGCTTTAGGGCTATCTTTATAGAACTGCTTTCCGGGTTATTTTATTTTCTTTCTTTTTTCCAGTTTAAGATCTAGTTCCATTCTTGAGTGTAAGTTTTATCTTATTCAGCCAAGAATAAAAAATCAGATTGTTTCATATTTCAACTCACTCTATGACTTGAATCATGAAGAGCAACAGTGATTATGAGCAGATATTACGAAATTTCAGATGAATTACAGTATGCAAAGTAATAAAGACTTTTTTTTCGGTATCCTATTACTTTTAGATAGAACCTTAGGCGAGTCAAAGTTTAATAAGGTTATCTTGATCTAGGAAATCTATTTTTTTTTTCGAATATCTTTTCTCCTCTCTGTTATTATTTTAAAAAAGAAACAGATTGAAAAAGAAACAAAGAAAAAGAAGAAATGAACAACATCTGAGTCATTCCACAATTTAAAAAAACGAAAAAAAATAGGAAGAATCAGACGGCGGGCGTTTATGCACAAACATATATTTATATATATATATATATATATATATATAAAAGAAAAAAAAAATACTGCAAGAACATAAGACTAGACGACTGTCGAATTTGTATATAATACTGTCGAATCGACCGATTGTTTATCTAAAACATTATCTCGAGTCATATACAATTGCTCAAATCGTCTTAAAGCATGATCAGCTAATCGATCCGGTGAATTTGATGATGGTAATGGTAAAATAGTCCTCTGTTGATGTTTTCCTTCAGGTTCAAGATTAAATCGAACACGTCGCGTCGTATCTGTTCCATGTGTTGTTACTGTCGAATCATTGAAACGATTAAGTAATGTTGTAAACGATGGTGAATGTTGATTTTTTTGCATCATACCTTCTTTCATCATGTTGTATGGTTGACGATAGCTATGATGTGGATGCGATGATGATAGTAAACTATTACTTCCATTATGCATTGGTGGATCTGATATATCGGATGAACCACAAAAACCATCATCAGAACTAACAGGTGTGTGTGGAGAATTATTTGTTGATGATGACACTATAGCAACTGTATAGTCTGATGGTATTGATGATGATTGAATATTTGAATTGTTTGTTGATGTTGTCGTTGATGATTCATAGGTGACTGTTGAATGTCGTTTTGGTGAACATAATTGGTGAGATATGTTTGTTGTTGAATGCATTTGTGGTGGAATAGAAAGACGGTTAAGTGAATGAAATGTTGATGAATCACTACTACGTTGAGAATAACGAGAGTCAGGACGATTTGCGGTTGACAATACCCATGATGAGTACGGCTAAAGAAAAAATATGAAATGATCACTATTTAGTTTGTTTATTTGTAACTATGAAACAATATTTTTGTATTAATTTCATGATGAATAATATGTACATACACATATAATAGTCAAGTAATTTAATTCCGTAGTGCATTGAAACGAAAAGTTACATAACTCAACGGTGACACAGAACAAAATATTCAAAACAAATGAACACTTCTTTGAATGTAGTCAACGATGGTTGGAAAACGAAGAATTCATCGGTGAAACGAACTATAACATTTTATCAAAAAATGAACGAACCGTCTTTTTTTCAGAGTACTCGTATACTTCTCCAATAAAATTCAACGAGAAAAATACAAAATACACAGATGAGATCATTCTTCATACGATATATTATCCGTTCGGAATAAGTACATGAATCGAATATTGAAAAACCATGAAAATATAACAACTTTTTTATCGTCTATCATCTGCTTTTGTAAACTTATTATTACAAACATTCAAGGGCTCCTAATGAAGAGCTTCGATTAATTAATTTAATTAAAGTCTACTTGTGAATAGATATCATAGTCATCAGATATTTATGAAAGTTTTAGTGAAAATGAATACGTCTATGTTTCTCGAAGTATTATTATTTGCAATTTAATCTTGGCTAAATTTTTGAAATCAAATATTTCAAAGAACATATATTTGCTGCCGTTGAAATTTTCGGAAGTATCAAATAACCAGTAAAGCTATCGTTAGAATAACTATCAAATAGAAATATGCTACTCTAAGTAAAAATATCATCAAAAATGATTTTAACTCTTAATCTGCAAACCACAAGCTATAATTTTGGTCAAATATTTCTTACTCTTACAAGACACTTCTCAAATATCGAACTATTTGAATATGTTTTCAAGTCGAAAGATGTTGTTCAAAAGTTCTAACCTTAGTTCTTTGTTCATCATAAAGTTGTTTTTCATTTAATTTTTCTAATAAATGACAATTATCATTTATTAACGATGTTGGTGTTATTGAACCTTTATTTAACATGAGTAATGACGAAGGCGATGATATTTCACCATATTCATAACAATTACTAACACGTAGTTTATGTCTTTTATCATTATTATTTATTGTTGATGGTTTAAATAGATTCGCTGTAGATGAATCCGATTGTTGTTGTAAAACAGATGATGTTGATACAGAATCTTGAGTTTTCAATAAATCTTTTTGTTGAAATGATTTACGTCGTATTAATGATATAAATATAAATGTTATACCAATAAGTATTATGCTTAATACAGTGATAATAATAAAAACAAGAAATTTATTCGATTGATCTAATGATGATGACGACGAATAGGAATGGCGTGGTTGATATGAATTATGATTGTTATTATTATTATTATTAGTATTAATATTAGTATTAGTATTTGAATGATATTGTAAATAAGAAAAGCGACTATTTAAATGAGAACCAAGATAATCATATTGTTTAACGATGGTTTGAATACGTTCATAATTGTCAACAACGATTAATTTTAATAATTTCTCATCGAAATAATTTTGACCATCAATAATCTTTAAAGAGAAAAAAATTGAATGAAAATATAATAAAATAAAATAAAATATATATATATATATTTTTTTTTCTTACTTTAAATGCTAGATAATAAACTCCGTCATGTAAAATTGCATTATTTGTTGAATTGAAAAATAATCTTGCTTCATCATCAAGATAAAATTTTGATGAATCAAATTTTAATAAAGGTTTTTGTTCAGCTAAATAGTCATAGTTTTTTAATTGATCCAGTCGATGAACAAGAAGTAATGTATGATTGGGTATTTGATCATGATCTTGTACATCGATTTGACATATATAATCATTGATATGCCAGTATGTACGATCAATAATTAACGTATCATTATGATCATTTGGAAAAACAAAACGTGGAATTTCATCATTTAAGTCGAGTGTAGTTATTTGAATTTGAATACGTGAAGACTTATGATAACCATCAGATGCAATTACATGAAATATATATTGATCGGATTGTTCACGATCGAGAGGATGAAGTGCAAAAATTTTACCATCCGATGATGAAATTTTGAAAAGAGAAGAAATTTCATCTGATGGATTATCAAGAGAATATGTTAGTGAAGCATTATCAATATCCGAAGCTATTACTTGACCAATAAAACTGTTTGGAGCATTATTTTCATATATTGAGAATTCGTAATTTGATTGAGGAAACTAAAAATAAATAATAATCGTCAATTTATGCTGGAAAACAAATTCTGATTAAAATCAAACTTCATTGATAGCCTATTCTCGTCACTTAGAAATTTTATGTGACTTCAATCGAATTCATAATTCTTAATAAATCTATAACTAGCAAAATTTAAATAGTAGCTCTGAGAGAAAGATAGACACGTAATAAAAAAAAAACTAAAATATTATGAATACATTATTTTTTGTTTATTCTTAGCGAGTCTCAACGTTGGTGTATCATGAAAGAATAAGATTGATTTAAGCTGAACATAAACTCATCATGAATAATTGATGTTCTCTCGGGTTACATTGATACATCTATATGCTTATACATAGTTAATCCAAACAACAATCAATAGAGTATCCAGACAATCCCTTGACAAAGAAAAATTTGAATACTTCTGTCATATTTTGACTGAATAGATCGATATTTTTACTTATGATAAACGAGTGTTCATAAATGTATTTGCAACAGCTTTTCTAACAAAGATCTGTCATTTTTCACAAGTTATGAAGAAACAATACATTTACTTTTGCAAGCATGAATAAACAATATCTCATTTTCTCGAATGATTTTGTCAGATTAATATAGTTTAGCTTTATATTTACACTAAAGATATATCTCTCGAATCGAGCGAATAGCAACTTTTTATCTTTTTCCATTTGCAACTTGCTCATATGCTCTTCTATATTTGTATTAGATCTAATTTGTTTATCATTGAATAGAAAGACATTATTTCATGCACATCACAACAAGATCAGCTTCTTCTTGTTTTCCTATACGACCACTCTAATAGTTGTATTAAGTGAAATGAACGTCGCCGTTAGAACTTAATTCAAAAACACATGGAAATTTTGTCCTCTTCATTATTCATAAAATAACCAAAATAGAGATAACATATTCAAAATCAGTATTCAAAGCTGCCGACATATCAAATAGTTTATATACTTCATTCAATTTTCTATCAAAAAAAAGAAAATTTTTTGCTTTTGAATCAATCATTTATCCTGATAAGTAGAACGTATATAATACGACTTTGACATGAAAAACAAATGTAGGCCCATATGCTCTATAGATATTGTCTACTATCATTAAATTTGATCCTAATATGTTCAGCATTCTTAAGTTACAATAAACAATCTTGGATTATGAGAAATTCGATTTATTCATCATTAAATACTGATTATACTAGAGATTAACTTACTTTAGGAATATTATCGTTTTGATTAATAATATGAACAAAAACTGTAGCTGCTGTTTTCAACTGTTGTCCTTTATTTGGATGATCCATAGCTGTTACGTTAAATGTAAAATCTTTAATTTGTTCGAAATCATATTGCATTTTTGTTCTTATAATTCCTGTTTGACTATCAATAGTAACATATTTATTATTAATATCATTTAATTCATATGTCACACGTCCATTATCATCTAGATCAGAATCATTTGCAGAAACTTGTATTAATGTTGTATTAATTAAATTATTTTCTTGTATATCAACATAATAAATGGATCTATCGAATATAGGTGAATTATCATTATCATCTAATATATAAATAGATAATTCATAATATGATGATAGTTTTGGTTGTCCATTATCAGTTAAAATCAAATTAAAAATATATTTATCTTGGAGTTCTCGGTCGAGTTTATGATTTGTTGATAAAACAAATGTTGAATCAGCAAATGGACCATGAATTTCAAATGGTAATGAATCTGTTGAATTTACAGTCAATTGAAATTTAATTTGATCATCGATATTTGATGATGTATCTAAATCGGATGCTATTAAATTTGCAATAATAACATTGTTTTGTTCAACTTTTGATTCATGTACAGCTATTTCAATATTGAATGCATCTGTATTGTTTAGAATTTCGATTGTTTGCAATGGAAAATTCCACGACAGTAACGGCGGGCAATCATTTATGTCATCAACATCAATAATAACATATGTATAGAATGGTATGGAAGCTTTATCATGACCTTGTATAACTAATTTCCATGTTGTTATTGATTCATAATCTAATGGACGTATTAGATTCAAATAGCCCGTAGAAGAGTTTAATGCAAAATACTCGAAATTTCGTTTTGAATTCGATGATGCTAACAAATAATTTGTTGCTGAACATGATGATATTGGTTTCATTTGTAGAAAATTTTCATAGAATTCATTTTCTTTCAATTTAATACGATAAGGATTTTTTTCAAATTGACATAATTTTTCTTCTTGATCTTCATTTAATAGGATATGTGCGTTGCCAATAAACATTTCATGTTTTTTATTTTCGATATTTATCTCATTATGATTATTACAATAAAATGGCAATGTTATCATTGATTGATCATTTTTGATATTAAATTGAAAAGGATTTTTATATTTTAATTCAATTATTAATTCATATATAGTTGTATTTTGTGGAAAAACAATTTCTAATTTCAATGTATAATTAAGTGGGCATATTTGTTTTAGTGGCAAGCGTGTTAATAATTGACATGACGAATCAAGATGAAAGTATTTTGATTCAGTTTGTAATAAACAACGATAGGAATATGTTGGATGAAATTGATGTTGAAAATTATGAAGTATTAAATCGGATTCAGGATAATCATTTGGATCGATTACAATCGAGGGTAATGAATGTAAATGATGATTTGAATAGATTAATGGAAATATGAAGAAAAATATGATAATTTTAATCATGATTTACTTTATCTACGAAAAAATAGAAACAGAAGCAAAGATCAGAATAGAATTTCAATGACCTATTTAATATTCCGATTTTTTTTTCAAGTAGATAATCGCGATTCATTAGAATCGAACGACTGCTCTAATTAGTATGACGAGCAGATGTGACCTATTGAATTTCCCGTTTCCTGTCAACACCTGAATAGAGAAAATGCACATCCTCTTTAACCTCCTCCTATTATTTCTTTAAGATGAAAGTATATTTAGTTGTCGGAACGATCTGAAACAATACACACCACACATAAACGAAAGAATATAAGTGTTTATGTGACCGTCGTCACGATAACCTACGATCAACAAAAACATGTATATATATATATCTATTTCACTCTTCTACTTTGAAGTTCTCTTATTCACTCACTTGTGCTTCTATTCCATTAGGACCAAATGTCTGGAGCGAGAAAAATAAAGTAAATTGAGCCTAATGGAATAATGTTCTATTGAAGAATAACACTCAATCGATCCTTTGCTTAATTAAATAATATCATAGATCTCCTCCATCTCTCGTTCTCTTAGATTATCATGACCTTGGAAAGAATAACATCAGCGATATACACATGTTTTATTTGATCAACTGATTTATTGTCGTAGGCTATTATTAATTAAAATAAGTGAACATTCGACCGATCTATTCGTGTCATTCACTACTGTTCAATGGATCATCTCTCTATCGAAGAGGAAAAAAGAGAAAGGCAGAGAGAGAGAGAGAGAAAGAAAGAGATCCCTTGTATAAACAAATCTCGATGACAAGCAAACTCATCTTTTATTTATGTGTCAAGGACAACTAACTGGTCTCGAAATCGAAAAATGAGATGGAATAAAATAATAAGTGCTTATCATGTTATATTAACATGATTCTGAAGGCAAAAAAAATTACTTGTCAAATTTAATCTGGAATAATAAACAGAAGAAAAACGATTTTTTCTTATGAATATTATTCAATTTGATCATTTTTTGCTCTCTCTCTCTCTCTCTCGTTCTAAAGATGATCAATAACTAGAAAAAAAAAGAAAAAGACATCAAGAAAATGATCCGTGATAGTAGTACGATTCAATATATAATTTTGCTTTGTATTTTATTTCAGTGGTCTTAATCGATTTTCACTACGGTGGTCCATCTGTATGATTGATACGTTCATGCACATAAATAGAGATGCACAGCGTGACAATCTCGATATGCAATAGTGAGATTTGAACTGAGGAGAAAAAGCTCACTGGAGGGAAGAACACGAGGAAACATATGTTATTATCTTTCGTGATCAAAAAGAGAATAACAAAGCATTATCAGAAAATCCAAACGTTACAAATAGTTTAGTATTTACCGTACACTGATGAATAAATTGCATTTAAAAAAATAGTCGTTTTAACTGACGAGTCATTTCCGATGAATAAAATAAGAAGAAAAAAGGACAAGAATACTCACTTTTATTTCCGATTCATAATAAAATCTAGCAATCATTTGTTTAATCAAATTCAAGGTTATTCGTACATTTCTCTTTTGTTTCAATATCCAAGGAAACTTTCTCAATGAAAACAAAGTCGTTTCGATTATGTTTTGTCATGTTGATTATTAATGTTGAAAACGACCTTTTGCGATCAAGTTAGATGCTATCTGGCATATGCTTACTACTCATTAGATGAAGAAAAAAAAAGGAAAACGATTGATTTGAAAGAATTTTTCTTCTTCTTCTTCTTCTTCTGCTTCTTCTATTGCTCACACAGACCTGGTAGCTTTTTAAAATACTTCTCAATTTCTAGTACAACACAACTCTGTATTCGAGCAATACATAGAACAGAAAATAGGAAAGAACTGTAAAAAGATAATCAATAATGCTTCATTACTCGTGTTGTATGTTGAGTTACATCATATTCATTCAAGTATAGTGGATTATTTCCATAGTAAACGCATGCACTATAGTAGTCATAGTACAAGATTTTAACATACAATTCAATCTCCCAAGAGTGCTGATCGATTGAACAAACGAACGAACGAACGATGAGGATGCTGATGAGACGATGATTGAATGAACGAACAGCCAAAAAGAAAAACGAGAAAAAACAGAAAAAATCTAGAAAAAAGAAAAAGATTCGATATAAGCACACGAACAAAGAATATAATGTGTATGCAGCTGTTGTAGCGTGACTTCATCGAAGTAACGAAGTCGATTGAGAATAGTTTATTAGAACTCAAATGACTATTAACAATATAAGATTGCTCAATTCGTGGCCAGTTTTTGTTTCTTTTTCCTCTTCTTCTTCTTCTTCTTCGTCTTCAGATTGAATGATTATCTTCTACGCTTACATCATACAGCTGTGACATAGTCAACGATCAAAGCGGATCACTTACTCTTTTTTTTTCTGGTAATTTACCTAGAAACTGTATAGTAGCATCTCAGTATGGTGCTAGAAAAGCAATTGCACCATCCAATTAATTTCCTCGAGATCAATGCAAGGACGTGCATCAGCTCGTCAATTCAAAAGATATCTATATATATCCGCTCTCTACTGTGTAAATCGATGCCACAGACGAATTTGATCATCGATACTTATACCATCATAACATCAAACATTATTGTACCGACAAATGTTCAATAGAGTAACTAAGTTTATTTTTAGATATAGACAATGACCTTTCTTTGTCAGGATGTGCTCATCTTGTATGAGGTAGATGACATGTATTTTTTCTTTTTCTTCTATATTGACAATGTGTGAATTAAGAAAAGAAGATGTCTCAAGTGTTTAGACGTGTGTATGAATCTAAGTCGATGAATATTAAACTCAATCAAAACTCTTTTCTTTTGCCGTGTATTTCATTATTAGAAATATCTCGCACTAGAACGAAATTTGAAAGAAAGACCGTAAAAAAGAATAATTCATTTGAAAATTGATCTCAATAGAATAGAAGCAAAGATAAATATACAATAAGAACTCACCCTATTCATATAAATATTATTACGATATTGAAATGTGTAATATCGGCGGCAAGTTTTTTAATCTTCGTTCCGGCTAATATCTTTTCTTTTTCTCGTTTGTCGACACACTGTCTACGACTGATATGTGATGGACAGGCGAAAACTATTGAGTACGCGCACACTCTTAAATCTATATCCTGAACGAGAACTAAACGAAGGAAGTAGATTATACGTACACACGAAGATATATAGACTCATCTTTCAATGCTGATTAATTTTGACAAAGACAAGATGACCGACTAGCTGACATTGAACGCGTGCACATCTATTTCTCAAGTATATGATGTTCATTCATCTACTTTTACTTTCTAACTGATCGACGGACACCTTTCTAGTGCTACCTTAAGGGTGCGTCGTCGTGCGAAACCGTTCGAGTGCTGTTGATGCTTCTGTTAATCAATTTATTGTACCTGCTGACGACAATGGGAGACATCCAACCGAATCAACAGACACAAATATATGTGTGAACAAAATGCATACACACATGCTGTTCGCTTACAAGATGCTGTCTCACTCAATTGACCCAAACAAAAAGAAAAAGCATCGAGAATAGAGTAATCTTGAAACAATAAAAACGAAGGGAAAAAAAAGAAAGAAATGCAATGCCACCCTATTGTATTCAGACATTTATAGGCAATTAATTTCTTAGGCCGTCATATCTGAGTAGAATTTTGACCGAACAAACACTACAAAAGAGCAAGCTGACTGAATAGAAACTTACTTAAATGAAAACAAAACAAAATAGACGGAAACATATCACAAAAGTTTTTCAAATTTTATCTAATGGACTATGAACTTGCAATTTCAATTAAGTGAAATGTGTCGAGTTCTTTTTTTTGCTCTTGTTTAAACTTTATTGAATAATGTCGATGAAATAGATCGATTTACATTCTCGTGATGTAAGTAAGTCAATCTTCTAATGTTCAAAAGGTATAATATGTATACATACGAACACTTTTTCATTTTTTTGCTCTCTCTTTCCTTTCACTATAAACAACAATCATAATAGTTAAAATAACAATAGTATAAATCTAAGATTATATTTTAAAATATATTCATAATAAAATATGTCAAGTGTGAGTGAACGAAGAATGAGAAACGGAAAAATAACAAAACGAAAAAAGAAATCTTTGATTCGAATAGATTTGTCATGCATTGATAGAGTAAGAAAATAGCCTTGTACATGTATATACGTTTAACGGATGACCATTAAACTTCACACATACAATTTTTATTCTATATTGATGAGTCCTATTCATTCTCTCTCGTTTTCATTTTTATTCAATAACATGTGGATTTAATTGAAATGTGAAAGTTCACAGTTTATCGTCAAAATTTTCTAATTGAAAAAAGATTTCGAATTTTTACCATGTACAAATAAATATACTTCTTATCAGATTCTTTTCGTTTTGTATTCTCTTTTGTCTTAGAAATAAAACATACATAGCTAACAGATGGTACATGATAATCATTATACAAGGCTAGGTTTTCAAATAAGGACAAGTTCCTGTATGTGATTTGCGTGTTAGGCATTTATATTACGTAATATTCATATTGTCGGGACATGAAGGCGACAACAATCAATGAAATTAGCTAAATGTATGTGCGTGTTAGTTGACAAGAATCCTAAGTGAAAAGATTAGAGAGACTATGAAGCAACAGAGATTGAGCAGTGTATGAATGAATGAATAAAAAGAAAGATTAGGAATATCTATCAGCATGTATACTATATTAAAGTTCATCTTGATATATCAAGTGATTACGAGATCATGTTTGAGTGAATTTATAAGAGAGACTATGAAGCCTGATGAAAAAGAAAGAAGTCTATCAAGCGCAAAAACTTCATATACAATGATCGAAAAATAATAATTATTTCATATTTATTGATAAATCTGTTCATATACATACTACATGTTTATATACTGATGTTGTATATCACACATTCAATACAGGGCACGCGTCATACAACTAACTACCCGATATG